TACAGAGCCTCTAAAAAAGGATTAGCACCAAGTGCTGTGATTTGCTTTACTATTTAGAATTCTCCTCCAGCTGCACAGTAGTAAATAGATGCAAAAGATTGTCAGGAAGCTGTGGTTGCAATAACAGACACAAAGGCCTTCACTAGGCCACTAAGGAAGTGGCTTTGCAGATAGAAGAGCCATCGCCATGCCTGGTGATCCACTGAATGTTGAGAGAAGAGAAAAGGTTTTTAGCATGTGTGGTACACTAGACTCTGGACAGCTGAGATGGGCAATGCAAGAGAATAAGTGGGTTTCCTGTGATACACTCAGTCTGGGACTTGTTGGCTGAGGCTGAAAGATGGAGCAATCCTAAGGCAAGCTCCTGAGGGATGGGATTGAACAGGGGAGTTCAGATTCTCCAGCAGGTAGGAAGCCCTGGAATAGCTAAAAATGCCAAAAGAGAGAGTATAAATCACAAGGAAAGATAAAAAGCCTAAAGGAAGCTGTTATGCTGCAGGATCAAAAGTGGAGCCAATTGGCTGGCTTAGAAGTTTCAGCGCTTCTCCTGCCGGGGACAGAGGTTCTTGTCAGAGGAACCAGGAAGTTTTGCAGGACATGTGCCTGTGCCAACATCTGGGGGCCTCACGCCACCTGCCGGATGGAAAGGTCCATGACAACATAGAGGGAGGGCTTGGAAAACCAAAAGGAAAAGAACTCCCCCACCTCACTGGGTAGAACAGAGGAGGACAGAGAAGGTAATTAGTTTTGTGGAACAGAGGATTTGGCCTATTTCTTACTTTGAATTTAATCAACTCAATGCCTGAAAGGTTGGAAAACAATAGAGAAGGGAAAGAAAAAATCGTTATAAATGAAGGCTGCCTCTCTGGGGATCCAGCTGTGCAAACTGCAGGAAAAGCAGGTGTATTCCTGGGCCATGGCCCGAGGCTCTGGGGCTGATCAGGAAGAAATGAATGGTCCTCAAAGAGGCAGGCGGGGGGGGGGGATACTTAGGGATGCCTGTGCGGGTGTGGGGGGGAGTCAGCTCTCTGGAAGCCCACCCGGTCACGATCTTGAACTCATCGGGATCACGTCGAGAGGTCATTAAAAACACAGACTGCTGGCCCCGCTCTCTCGGCTTCAGAATCAGTAAGACAAATGGCGCTGGAGAACGTATGGATCTAACTGGTTCCTAGTGATGCGGCAGCTTTTCAGCCAGGAACCAGGCTTCAAAAAACATAAGTCCTCCCAATCTCCAACAGGTGGGCTGCTTACCATTGCTGCAGGTGGTTCTAGATAGGACCCAGGGCAATCTTACAGTTTGTAACAGTTGTGCATGTATTTTTTCGAGGGTGTGCACAACACACTACTATAATTGTGTATAAAATTCATGACATTTAAGAATTCTGTTTAGGGTTGGATGTATAGCTCAGTGACATAGCACCTGCCTGGCAAATGCAGTGTCCTAAGTTTGATTCCTGGTTAAAAAAAAAAAATACTGTTTAGAACACATCTAAAGCAGATGTAAGTAAAAGAAAAAAAAACCCATTTAAATAAAAACACAAAGTAAAAAATTCATGTAGGTAAAATGTGAGTGTAGAAAATATCAGAGGTATGCAAATGACTAATATTTAGTAAATACACAAATGAAAAAATAAAAGGGAAAAAGGAGAGGTGGATTGTAGCTCAGAGGCAGAGTGCCTGCTTAGTATGCACAAGGCCCTGGGTTTGATCCCGTCACCAAAAAGCAGAACAAGGCAGAAGAAAAAGAAAGACACCTTTCAGTTATGGTAGGTAGCCAAGGATCAGGGTGGATACCCAAAGCTAACCAGCAGGAGGCTCATGGTCACCGGTTAGTTGGAAAGGACACAGAAAAACAGTAAACAGTAAGTACAGCTGAAAAGCATCCCATTAGGGCAACGAATCACGTCCTTGTTTTGTAGATGAGGAAACTGAAGTTAAAGGGTGTCTTCCAAGATCATAGCCAGGAGCAAAGCTAGGACTAGAAGTAAGAGAGCTTTCCAGGGATGAGGACAGAGGTGCCCCAGACACCTGCATGGAAAGTGGGCACCATTGTCTGCGAACCCTGGAAACAAAACGGCTTCCCCTGTTGTCCCGTGAGCCACAGCTGGGCTTGGCTCCAACGGATGACCAGGCCTTCCACAGAGGTCACTGGCCCACTAGTATAGATGAGCTGTATCAGTCATATTGCTTATTCTCAATACTTCGTGAGCCTCACTCTGCAGCAGGAAACTGTGCTGATGCTGGAGTACGAAAGCCGTAAGAGGTCAACCCGGCCCTAAAGGAGCCCCTGGTCTTATGGTGGGGATGGGTAAGAAACATTCGCACAGAACGTGATTCAGCGAGGAAAGCTGGTGAGAGGATGGTCCAGGGCACCCCAGGTGAAGACCTGACCTCATCCTGAAGCCAGGAAGTGTGTCAGCACGGTGAGGGAGGAACAAGGCTGCTCAGGCAGAGAGGAGAAAGTGCAAAGGGCAGAGAAGAGAGGTCACAGGACATGCAGAAACCACCGTGGGTTCATGTAGTTGAGCTCTGAGGGCAAGAGACACTGTTGCATGCACATGTGTATACACCCACACATATGAAATGTTGCATATTAACTCACATGTATATATGAACCAATATTTGTACACATATAGCGTATAGATGATGCAAGCTTGAATTTAATCTTTAGTTTTCATAAGCCTAGAGGCAGGTACTATTATTATTCCCATTTAACACTTACAAAAACTGACTTGACACACAGAAGGCTTTAATAATCCACTAAGGATACTGAGGAGGCTGAGGCAGGTGGATTGTTGCAAGTTTGAGACCAGCCTGGACTACCAAGTGAGCCCAAGGCCAGCCTGAACCACATAGCGAGACCCTGTCTCAAAAAGATAATAATAATAATAATAATCCACTAATGATACATAGCCAGGAAGTATCTGGGACTCTAGAACCTGTGCTATAGGAATCTAGAATCTACGATAGTCTGTGGCACTGGCGAGCTATGAATAGGAACAAATACAGACAGGGAGGGTCTCAGGTATCCTGAAGGATAGAGTTTGATTTTGAAGGCTGACAGTTTGAAAGATTGCCAGCTGAGGATGACATGATTTATTTATTCAACCGATATTTGTTCAACAAAGCCTAGCATGGAACATCTAGGGCCCGGGGGTACAGCTAGGAAGAAGTGTGTTTTTGTTAGAGTGATTTCATCTCATTTGGATATGAGGTCAGCAGTGGAACTGCTAAACCAAATGGTAAATCTGTTTGTAGTTTTTGAAGAATCTCCAAACTGTTTTCCGTAATGGTTGTACTAATTTGCATTCACATGAGCGATGTATTACTTTTCTCTACCTCTTAACCAAATCTTGTTTTATTTTGCTTTGTTGTCTTTTTGATGATAGCCATCCTGATTTGCATTTCTCTGAAAAGAAAGTGAAACAGCATTTTTGGGGCTTTCTGGCCACTTTTGAGGAGTGTCTGCTTAGATCTGTAGCCCATTCTGAATGAGATTGGGGTTTTTATTTATTTGGATTTCTTTTTCTTTTGGTGTTCAGCCTTTGAGTTCCCAATATATACTGGATATCAACCCTTTGTCAGATGAAGGGTGTGCAGATGCTTTTCTCCCATTCCACAGATCATCTTTTAATGCTATTGATTATTTTCTTTGCTGTGCAAAAGCTTCATAGTTTGATACCATACCACCTATCCATTTTTACGTATGTTGCCTGTGCCTTTGGAGTCTTACCTTTAAAAGAAATCATTGCCTATCTCATAGCCTTGAAGTATTTCCCTGAAATTTTCTTATAGTAATTTCATAATTTCAGGTTTAAGAGTTAGGATGCCATCCATTTTGAGTTGATGCTTGTGTAGAGTAAAAGAAAGGGATTTTTGTTTTGTTCTGCATATGTATGGTCAACTTGGCTAACATCATTCATTGAAAATATTGTTTTTTATATCTACTGCATGTTCTTGGTTCATTTGATGAAAATCAGTTGACTATGAATATGGATTCATTTCTATTTGTCTATTATATTTCATTAGTCTCTGTGATTTTATGCCAGTACCATGCTGTTTTAGTTCCTGTAGCTTTGTAGTCACTCTTGCTTTGAAGTCAAATATTATGATGCCTCTGGTATTAAGCTGGTCTTCCAACTCTGGGGATCACTGTGGCTATTTAGGATGTTTGTAGTTCCATATAAAATTTAGAATTGTTTTTCTATTTCTGTGACGGAAGTTATTGGTAGGTGATGAGAATTGCATTGAATCTGTAGATCACTTTGAGTAGTATGATCATTTTAATAATACTAATTCTTCCAGTCTGTGAACACTTCATTTTTCACGTGTGTTCTATAATTTCTTTGATCAGTGTTTCATTTTCATAGGTTAAGGTTTTTTCTGAATATTTTAACTTATAGGTATTTGTGAATGGGTTGCCTTCTTCATTTCTTCTTCAGAAAGGTCATTATTAGTGTATAAAATGCTACTGTTTTATGCTGATTTTGTTTCTTTCTCTTGCCTAATTGTTCTTGCAAGACTTCTAGTACTATATAAAAGTATGTATGGTGGGATCCTTGTCTGGTTTCTGATCTTAGAGGAAATAATGTCAACTTTTCTCCATTCAGAGTGATATTGACTATGGGTTTTTCATATATAGACTTTAGTATTTTGTCATATCCTTTTGTACCTAGTCTATTGAGTATTTGTCACAAAAAGAGGTTGCATCTTATCAAATGCTTTTTCTGCATCTATTGCAAAATCATATTGTTTTATTTAGTTGGCCATATTTCTTGATTTGCATATGTTGAACCATCCTTGCATCCCTAAGGTGAATCCCATCTAATTGTGGTGTATGATTTTTATGCTGTGCTATTCAGTTTGACAATTTGGGCATTTTTGTTCATCAAATATGTGAATCTGAGATCTTTCTTTTTTCTGGTGTATCTTTGTCTGATTTTGGTATCAGGGTACAGCTGGTTTCATAAAAAGTTTGGTAGAGTTTGTCCCAGTTCAAAAATACGGACAACTTCACAAATTTGCATGTCATTCTTATAGATGGGGCCATGCTAATTTTCTTGGTATCATTCCAATTTGAGGAAATGAACTGCTGGCGTGAACACCATCTGGTATTTTTAAACATCTAATGATATCACAATTCTCACAAAGTTTGCTTCTCCTTTGTCTCAGAAACAAACCTAAAATATTTTTAAAAATGGAATGGTTTGACTTTTTCTAACTTCAGAAAGACCCTGAACATGTCGGCAAGATTGTACATGTCTGCAGTTCCCCTCCCAAGCTGGTTGGTTAAAGCGTTGCTCCAGCCCTGCAGGATATTCTGTTCCAAGGACTGTCTGTTCAGGGTTCCATAATGTTCTTCAGTGGCCCCCTTCATAACATCACACTGTGGCTTTTTCACTTCTCTGGAGTTCTTCCCTGATGTTTTTTTAATATGGGCAAAGAATCAGGAATTGCCAAGTTTTGGAAGAAGATGTACTAAGTTCAAAGAATAGTGGATTTCAATTCTAGGGCTTTTTCATGTGTTCCTCCAGATGTCTGAGCCACTCCCTCAAATTGAAGCAAGATATTCAGACTGTTAGGTTTAATCTGGTGATAGAAAACAGAGCTATAGTGTTCTATTGCTAATTAGATTTTCCCCCTGTGATCTCCCACAATATACAGCTCAACTTTTCAGCTAAAGTTGAAAGAATTTTTTCAAAAATGAAAGAACCCAAGGCCATGATTTTTGTTCTTACCTCTGCTACTAATAAATTGCGACCAACCCAATGTCACTCTTGATTTTTTAATTGAAGGAAAAAATCACTGGGGCTAGGGGTTTACTCAATGGAAGACCGCCTTCCTGGCATGCGAATGCCATTTTCCTCTGTCCTCCATGGAATGATTCAGCCCTTTGTCCAGCCCATCCATTCTATATATTCTCCCTTCCTTTTTGTTACTTAGTCACTGTTCAGTAATTAGATCAACTGTTAGGGACAGCAGGGCTTGTGTCCAAGTAACTTCTTGTACCTAAGAATGGTCCCAAAGTGCAAGAGTGCTGATGCAGAGGTACCAAAGTATCACATATGCAAGGACATGTTCTAGAACTACATGGCACCATGGAAATGGCGGGGGTGGGGTACTATCCATGGGGCTCCACTCAATGGAGGTTTAAGGAATCCATTGGAAGATATTAGACTGTCTCCTCCGTAAATAAGAGGGACATGGGGAATTCTGTGCTTTACAGAAAGATTGGTCTGTTATAGGTCTGAAATTTAAAAATTGGTCCTTCATCTCAATCTGAAAAGCATCAGGATTTAGGGAAATTCAAGTCAGTTGCTCCCCACAGTGTAGATCGCAGTGTAGACTGTGAAACAGAAGTGGAGTAAGTGAATTTCAAGTGGTAGACTGAGACATATTGCAGAGAGATTTTTGGGGGGTTATACAAGCCAATTTATGGACTCAGAAAAATTAAGGAGATACAAAGAATGAGAAGAATCTGGGACCAGTGAAATCTGTTACACATGTAAATTCTAATTTTTTAATTTATTAGTACAGATCAAGCAGAGTACATCTGAGGGCCACTTGTCACCCTCTGAGGTGGGACTGAGCCTCTCGGTTCACAGGTGACATTATGACAGAGGATCAATGTCTAGGATGTCCTAGGATGTAGTCCTAGGAAGCTAGAGGCCATAGGACGTCTCATAGATGGTGAGGGGACATGCTTGGAATGGAGGTTCAAAGCAGAAATCAGGCTCACATTTGCAGATTATTTCGCACCTTACTCTCCAGCAATGCTTGGAACGAATAGGCAGAGACCTTCTTTCTCCCCCAGGGCCACTGTCACAGACAGCCCTTCACTGCAAGAGCTATACCCTTCTGAAAACCAAATTCCAAATATTTCTTGGGTGTATGGAAGGCGTGTGAGCATGGCAGCAGCTTTAGAAACACACTCCATGGAGTGCTAAAGCCTAAAGCTTCCAGAAGGTTGGGCTCATTGGAAAAATAACTCAAACCCTCATTAGCAATCGAAATTATTTATTCTTACACAGCCATTAGTGGGACCAATGACGTCAGAGCTCAGGTTCCACCAGTGGCATCAAGAAAACGCTGAATGAATACAACTAGAAAGGAAAGGATGAGAAAGATCACTTTCCTCTGCATCTGCTAACACCCGAGCCCAGCATCCAATATTAGCTGCTAAGCACTAAGCTCCCAGCAGGCTGCTGCTCTTATTTGCTAAAGCTAAAGTAGGAATGACCCAGCAAATATGAAAAACAAAGAGAAACAACATGTAGGTGGCTGTGAGAATAAAGAGCAGAGTTATTCTTCCTTACTACTAAACACCAGTATCACAACCTATTTATATTTTCAAGGGAGCTTTCTGGAAGAAAAGATATATAAGCAAACCACCACACTTTTTCGAGCTGAGGACAGGAATTAGGGCCAGCTTCTCACTGGAAAAGGGGGGAAATCTGTGAATGAAAAGAGTCACAATGGTGGGGCTGGGAAAATCTTTCTCTTGCTTGCTGGCAGCTATATTTCTCTCTTACTCCTTTGGCCTTAGGATTTGTCTGTAATTGAAAAAAATCTGCAAATGGCTGTCCAGTTGTTTTTGCAGCAGTGAATAGTAAGTGATTGGTGTGAAGGTGAGCAGTTGGTGTGGATGATTCTCCGTCACCCTCAGTAATGTTAGGGAAAAGACAAAAGGTTTTCTGCAACAGATAATTCCCCCATCCCCATCTATCATGCTATTCTGGACAACACAGGCAGCTGTTCCTGACTCCCCTGCCCCCCACCTACCACCTCGGCAGCCTCTTACACGGCCAGTCCAGCTTCTTGCTCTCCACCAGCTACAACTCGTTTGCCACACAGCAGCCAGAGGATCTTATAACCCAGATCCCAGTTTGCTACCTTTCTCTGAAGCCTTGATCGCTTTCAAGGTCCTGCTGACCTGCCCTTCCTCTGCGGGCTGAGCAACCCTAATCCAAAGAAAATAAATGTGAAATGTTCAAAAATCTGAATCTTTTTGAGCATTTGACATGATGTGTCAACTAGAGAACTTCACACCTGACTTCATACAGCAGGTTGCAATCAAATCACAAACTAATACAGTGCATAGCATTATTATGAGACAATGAGTATAAGGTATATGTGGAACATGAATGAATTTCATTTTTAGAATTGGATCCCATTACAAAATATCTTGTGTAAATGCAAATACTCCAAAATCCAAATATATCTAAAATCTGGAACCCATCTTGTCCCAACCAGTCCAAATATCAGATATTCAACTCGTACGCCCTGTGCACACGTCACACCAGCACATCTATCACCCACCCCATTCACTGCTCCACCCCTCACCCAGTCTTCCTTCAGCTCCACAGCATCAAACCCTTGCTAGAAAATGGGATTTTGCTCATTCTGCTCTCTCTGCACTTTCCTCATTCAGAAACTCAGTATCTGTTTATATGTTATGATTAGAAGGTCAGCTCCTCCATGAGACCACCTCTGTTTGGGCTGTCTAAAGTAGGTCCCGTCCTATGAAGCTGTGTCTCCTTTTCCTTGTTGTTTCAGGTCCTCTTGGTGGCCCAAACTCTGTAAAGGTGAAAATCATGTCTCTGTCATTGTATCTCAAGTGTCAGGCTTGGCACATGACAGATTCTCTGTAAATATTTTGTGAACTGAAGAATGGATGGATGGTCTCCACTGATTACCCAAGTCTGACATCTTCCTTCACTGACCCGTGGTGAGCTACCTGAGACTTAACAGGTCATGAACATACAACAGTTATGTGACGCTTTGAAGCAGAAAGTGGAGCATCTTGTGTTCTCCAATGGGATAGAATTTTACCTAAGATGTCCACAGATCTGAGAGCCAGGAGGATCAGGGCAACTCTGTCTTCCCACAGCCTGCAGGCTGCACTCAGTGATGTGGCTTCCCAGGAATTCTGCAAAGTCTGTGCCCAAAGTGAAGCCTGTGTTCCAAACCCAGCTGTCTGAACAATGCCTTTCACAGGATGGTCAAACGTGCTTCTGGGAACCAGACTTCCTAGGGCTAACATCCTTGCAGGGATTACTGGGGAGACAGGGAAAGGGGAGAACAGGTGTGTGCTGGGGATCTGTAAAGCAGGTGATCAGAGACTCATTGTATGATATCATAACCTCTGCCTTATTCCCGACCTTCAAGTTTCCAATATTCTCTTAGTCACTGTCGTATCCCTGAAATACAGTACCTGACACCTCTGATTTGAAGGAGGAAGGATTTATTTCTGCTCATGTTTACAGTCCATGGTCAGCTGGCTCCCAGGCAGGACAACACGGCAAAGGGGCAGAGCAGAAGATAGCTGCACATCACATGGCTGACCAGAGGCAGAGAGTATCAAGGAAGGAGCAGGGGAGAGAGGCCACGTCTGCAAGAAGCCACTTCTTCTAGCTAGCCATCACCTACCTTCAAAAGCAAGTCAGCTATCAGCCCCCACAATCCAGTCACCTTCCAAAATCCCCACCTATGAGCACATTAGGCTTTGGGAGGCCATCTGGAGATAAGCCATAACACTTTTCTATAATACACAGGAGAAGCCTTCCTGGGAATCTGCTACAGAAAGACTGATCTCTTTTGCTTTGGCCCCATGCCTGTCTCTCCAAAGCCTCCAAAGTCTCCATACTAGAATATAACTACTGGCTTTTCTTCAGATGCAATCCCTAGTCACTTTTCTTTCCATGGTTTCTCAGAGAGGTCAATCTAATGTTTTCAGCTACAATGTTTGGCCCATGGCTACAGCTTTATGCAGCAGACATTTCTAGTCTGGTTCATTCATTCACATCCACTCCTGACATCTCAGGAGGAATTAGGGGCTACAGCTATCATCAACTCAAATTCAACAGGTCTAAAACTCAACTCTTCACCCTCCCCAGACTGGTTCTCTTCAACTAGCAGCCTGTTTTTATGCACCCAGTCACTCCTGGTCACATCTGTGATGCGTGACCTTCTAGAAATCAACTGTGTACTAACCATATCACTTGCATTCTAGGTTGAGCTGCCCCAATTCCATGAACTATTTCTTTTAAGTCTCTCTAGACTCTCCTCTCACATTAGGATGATTTCAGTAATAAGTAACAAAACCCCAACCCAGATGGGATCATCCTATTCTATTTCTCCCCATAAAATTAAATTGTACTGCCTTTGTTTTTGTTTTTTTTTTTGGTTTGGTTTTTGTGCCAACTCATGACATTCCAATACCTGACCTTACAGGAAAGACCAAAAAAAAAGCCAGTTTTCACATTGAACAAAAGTCTCAGGCAGAGTTCTCTGTTCAAGATGCTCCCCCAGGAAGTGTGAGCCTTTTTGCAACAAACAGTTTGTCCAAAAAACTTTGATTTCATGAGGTGTTCAACTGATAACATTCACCAGAATAAAGAACACTTTTGTGAATATCTCTAAGTGTTACCATTTGTTGGAAGTGTTACTAATTTGTTCTGTTTACTGTTTTTAGAAGGATATTTTGAACAAGAGTCCAGTGAAACTGATGACGTGAAAGAATGTTAAAAGTTCTAAAAGTAACTTTTGAAGAGCAATTTGTACCTTCAGTTAGTTGTTTTAGTTGATATGTGTTGTTCTGCTGATAATATTGAAATTGTCTCCTCTCTATGTCTAAAATCCTACACACTTTTGCAAATATTTCAGGTTTTGTGAGCCACATGGTCTCTGGGCAGCTATTCATCTCTGCCCTGGAAGCACCAAAGTATCCAGTAAAGAAATGGGTGTGACTGTCTTATACAAATTTACTTATGAACATTGAACTCTGGATTACACATACATTTCATGCATCACGAAATCTTCTTCTGATATTTAAGCACTTAAAATACAAAAATCATTCTTTTCTTGGGTTTGCACCAAATACTCTTTCTAGAACTCTTGTTTCCCAGATAATCATGTGACCAACTCCAGTGTCTCCTTCAAGCCTTTACATTTCACATTCTCTGTAAGGCTGAACCTGGCTATCCTAAAACTGCAGCTCATATCATATCCCACTCAAGTGATCCTCCCTCCCCGCTCAGCCTTCCAAGTAGCTAGGACCACAAGTGTGTGCACCCGGCCTGGCTTTCCCAGGGTACACAGCATCTTACAAAATACTAAACAGTGACATATTATTTGCCTACTGTCTTCCCTTGCCAAATGCCAAGCTCCCTGAAGGCAGAGATTATTGAAGCTAAGTTCACAGATGCTACCAAAGTGCCCGAAAGATTTCATGGTACACAGTCAACATTTAAAAACTCTGTGAGTGATTCAACAGAAGGATAATGGCTTATTAAACCCTTGATCAATCATTAGTTTGGAGCTGAGAGCATTTGATTTAAAAAAAATTTGTTTCCCTTTTTTGAAGTGTGTATATTGCCTGGTCTTCAGAAATGGGTTTGTCTAAGACTTACTTCCTGTTGGGTACTTTGTTCAGGTTAGGCCAAATGATGCCTTCAAATGCAGGAGGGGAAAGATGAATGAACTTTTAATTTTAAAATGGAATAATTATCATCCACTCTACTTCTTTTCCAGACTTCTCTATTCCCCGCTCAAGTCTGGTGGGTCCCTTCAGAAATCTATGTCTGAATCTTTCTCTAAACTCCCTATACCTGGGAGGACTGATGATCAGGGACGGGCTTAACTAGCTGATGAGCTGAAACCTTGAACTAGAAAGACTAAACCAGGCTCAACAGTTTAGTTTTTGGCACTAAAGAGTCAGTTTCAAAAAGCAAATGGTAAGAACTGCCTCTTCTTTAAGAAATGCATTCTCTGTGATTATGTGTAATATTCGTATTATTTTCTTGAGTAGTTCATATTTTGGTTAATATTTGATTATGCAACTGTGAAATATCTGCATCTTTGGTCAACTTTCGTTGGGAAAAAAACACTCCTGAACTGCAACTTAATCAGAAAATATAGATTATCTCACAGAGTCTCCTTTGAAACCACATTCTGGTGCTTCAATACACTTTATAGCTCTTGCAATTCCCTCATCACTTTGTAACTATAGGTTATAGATGTTTATACATTTATGTTATTAAACTTCTTGGAACAAGAGATGATAGTTTATACATTTATATGCCTTATAGATGATAATACAAGGTTTAATTATCCCTTGTTGAAATGAAATATACACAGTTGCCTTACCCTTAAGAGCTTCCATAGCTTCCCTCTGTCTGTCATGAGGCATTTCTTAATCAGGTCGCTGCCTTTGTCTAAAGTCTCACCCTTCTCTCCCATCCTCCAGCCTGCAAAAGCTCTTGACTCTCTAGGCCATGTTGTTGCTCATTTCTTCCGCTTGTACATCCTCATCCTTCAGAATAAGTTATTGCTTTGATTGCACAGTGAATTCTTCACCATCTTCAAGCCAGAGCACATATGTGTTTATCTTTTGCCACTCCTTTCTCTCGTTAGCATTTTAAACTGTGAAAATAGGCACCTTATCTATCTGGCTCATTGCTGCTCTTTAGTGTCTGAAAAGTAGGTAGAGGCTGGAACAGGAAGGGTCTTAAATACAGTAAGAAGCCTTGATTATCTCCAGGAGGCAATGGAAAATTACAAGGTTATGGACAGACATTTGTTTTAGAAAAACAATCCCATTTCAGTGTAGGGGATGACTTGGAGAAGGCAAGATTGGCTGCTGAAAAAAATTAGAGTAAATGAAAGTGATGAGGGTCGGATCTGAGGTATTAGTGGCATCAGAAAGGTGAGGGATTTGACAGAACATCAGGAATTGATTACCTACTACTAGATGCTGCGGGGTGACCCTGTCTTCGCTCGCTGGCTGGTGCTACTTGGGACTATCATATAGTAATACAGTACAGTTGAATGTTATCTGTGGATCACTCCCACTTAAGAGTAGAAGTCCGCACTTTAAGGACCTTGCTTTTCAGTCTTTTTATTAGCAGTGTTAGAAAAGTGCCTAATTATATGTAAGAGGAGCAAGAAATGAATGAATACACTCAAAACACTGGACACAATTCTATCGTTCAATGAGGAATACAGCCTAGCACCACAAAGCCCACAGACACTATTGTCCACATTCTGTGCCAAGAGCAAACGGGTTGCCCACTTGTTCTCTGACTATTGTACAACTAGAAAGCTGACAATAAAGTTTATTTGAGCGTCGACGTGCTCCGTCGTGGCCCCGCCTCCCCAGACCGAGCTTGCGATTGGTGAAGACTTGGCGGCGGTCGGCGCTCATAAGCCGCAACTGGCGAAGGCCGCTGTCACTCTGGAGCGTCTGCGGCGTCGGCCCGCCCTCTCGCCGCGTCGCCGGTGTCTGAGCAGCCTGCTCACCCTCGCTTCTCCTCTCCCGGAGGAGGCCCGGGGGACCCCAGCGAGAAGCGGGGACCATGTTCCGACGCAAGCTGACGGCTCTCGACTACCACAACCCTGCCGGCTTCAACTGCAAAGGTGAGACGACGGCCGCGTGGCCTGGTCCCGGCGGCGGCTCCTCCCGCAGCGCCCCCACCGCGCCTCCACGCCGGACCCTCGCGGTTCTGGGCTCCCCCGGGGTCTCCAGGCCCGTCTTCTTCGTACCTCCGCGTACCTCGGCGTCCCGCTGCCGTCCCCAGGCGCCGTCTCCGGCCGCGGTCTGGTGTGGGAGGCTTCCTTACCCCCTCCTGCCTTCGCGTGGCTACTTTGGGCGCCCGCTCAGCTCCAGACCCCGCCACCCCGCCACCCCGCCCGGTGCACACCCAGTGCCTTCTGCACCCAGAAGGGACCATGTTGGTTTTTTTGCATCTTTCCCCGCCGGAGCTCCTGAGAGCCGGCACTGTGAGCACTTGCCTTGGGCCGGAAGCGCCCGGTTCTGAGAAACTCGAGTCCTCATTCACTGTCTGTCGGGAGCTGAGGAAGGAGGAGGTCGGGAGAGGGTCAGAACTAGCAAAGAGTTTCCGAGCAAGACAGCTTTCTCATAACGAAGTCTTGTACTGAAAAAGTTCGTAGCGGATGAGCTGGGATATTTAATTGTAAATGCATTTATTTGGGATTTTGCACCATCAAAACATAAAAGAAATAATGACCCTGCTGCTTGCCTTAACTCACCCACTACTTACCACTTCTCGTTTCCTTCTGTAGTTCTTGGCCTTTGGTAGACTAGGAAGTTTGAAAAAGTTTGATACAGCGCTCACACTCCTGTATCGGACTCACAAGTTGGAAATAATTTCTAGACAGGGAAGCAGTTTTTATTTCCTGTAAGAGCGTCAGATTATAGTATCTAGATTTTATACTTTGCTTTTTAACATGAACAAAAAGGATCAGTGTCAGTAGAATAAATATGGACATAAATAGATATGGACATAAATCTTTTAAGTCTCAACTTTCTAATCTGTAAATTGGAGGTATTAACCTGGTAGAGGTTAAAAGAAACAAGTGTACAGTTAATATTAACTGCACTTAATATTGTAGGTAACTGAACCATGACAGTAGTAGTAACAGTGACACCTATTATCGTTTAATATTTTGCACTTTGGTTTCCTGTTTGCTTTATCTTATTACTGCTCTGTTATAAGCTTGTACTTGCTGAGTCTTCAGCCTCCTCCCAAAGGAATCGGAATATTAGTAACTAATAAACAGGGCTATGTACTGCTTTAATCCTTTTTTATTTCATTTAATTCTTAAAACAACCCATGAGGTAAGTCTTATTATTCCATTTGTAGGTAAAGGTCTCGAGGCATAGAAAATCTTGGTGATTAACCTTTGTCCGTAGGCCTTAAATGTCTGGAGCCAGAATCTGAATTCATTTCAGAAATTGAGTAGGTCATTAATCAGTCTGTGCTTCGAATTCCTACTTCTCTCATTTGAGTTAACAGTAAAAAAAATTTCACAAGAGCATTTGTGAAGAAGTATTTTATCAAGTGTGTCTAGTGAATTTATATGTTATTTTATTGTAGATGAAACAGAATTTAGAAACTTTATTGTTTGGCTCGAAGACCAAAAAATCAGACACTACAAGATTGAAGACAGAGGTAATTTAAGAAACATCCCCAGCAGTGACTGGCCCAAGTTCTTTGAAAAGGTAATGCATTAGCAAATAAAATAAAAATACCTGGAGCGTTTCTAAAAACTGTATGAAGAGAAGCTTAAAATTCCTTTTTTCTTTTAAAATACAACGATCGTGGTTAGAGTTAGGCTTTAACTTTTTCCTTAACCATATTTCTTTTGATTTTGGAAAGTTATATCACATTTTCCTATAAAACTTTGAGGATGAGAAATAATTTTCTTCAAAAACATTGTAAAGTTTTTAAAATATATTAGATAGTATATAAATGCTACTTTACTTTTATTTAGTGCCCTGAAAACAGAATTTTTACATTAGACTAAAGAGTGTAGTTCTCGCACAATTTTAAAAAGCATCATCTTTTATATTAAAAGACATTATTGACATGCTTAACACTAAGAATATTATTTTTATACTTTCATTCAACAAACACATTTCCTTTTGTATGAAAGAAATAGTCCTTGAAAGCTCATATTTCTGTGACTAGAATTTTCTTGTTGATTTAATTTTAGTAATATTTTTACCAAAAAAATTGTTTTCAAATTAGAGTAAAAATGACATTTTGTAACCTCATTACTTGTATTAAACATTTTTAGAAGCTGTTACCTTTGTGAATAAGAGCAAAGTAATTGGGTATTTTCTCTTTAGAGAACTTAGTATTTTATGAATTAGGATTCTGTACATTATACACTAATGCTGTAACTTTGGCCAGGTGTGCTAACCCTTCTGTCTGAATGTTTTCATCAGTAAGTGGCAGTAACAATACCTGTGTCAGAGGAGTGGCTTTGTTAGGGGAACGTACCTGTATACCTGTTCACAGAAGTTCCTGGCCCATAGCAGGTGCTATATATTTTTTATCGCCACTTCCTGTACTTTCTCCACTGGATTACTTTGCTGTGCTTTGAAAAATTTTGAAGTTTTCAGTGGACTTCTTAAGACTTCAGAATGTAGGGGCCAGGGATATAGCTCAGTGGCACAAATGCCTCCCTGGTAAGTGCAAGCCTTGTGTGTTCAATCCGGCTTCCTCCCCCCACAAAAAGACTTGGAAATGCATTACTGGGAATTTATATTTGTTTATTTTAGCTCTTATAGCTCCCTTGTGTAGAAGATAGTACAGAGTTCCACATGCAAAGGGGTATTAGAAGATTAAAATTTAAAGAATATAAAAAGTTTCTGCCACTCAGGAGTGACAAAGTAGGATAACTTGAAAGTAAATACATTGGAACTTCCCAAACAGATACTATCACTTTGGTCTCTTTTGGAATGGCAATATTGCCTAAGCACATTTGAAGTATCCTTCTTATTGTCACTTCTGGATCATGAATCACATCTTCTATTTATTTACTTATTTTTAGTGTTGACAGGTTTTTTAAGTTATTGTGAGATGATCAAATTTGTCAATAAGGTGATTTTTTTCTTCTAAGGAAGGAAATAAAATTTTGTTTTAGGAAATGTGTTGTGACTAAAAGGTAATATAGTAGCATTATCGCTGGAATCCAATTTTCTTTTTTCTTTCTTTCTTTTTTTTTTTCTTTTCAGTCCTGGAGATTGAATCCAGGTCACACTGACCCTCTACGTCTCAGCCCTTTTTTATCTTTTTATTTTTATTTTTACTTTGAGGGCAGGAGCTCACTTCAGTGGCCAGGGTGAGCTGGAACTAGTGGTCTTCCTGCCTCAGCCTCTTTGAGTGCTGGAATGAAGGGCTTGTATTACTGTGCCTGGCTGGAATTAGATTTTCATCTTCTAAAAGACTTGAAGGATAGCACTTATCTCCGTACACATCTTACTCTGCACTCATAGCCTGCATGCGTGTTACCATGGCTTACTGTATTCAGTTGCATTTCCATAAAAGTTGAAATTTAGAAAACACCTGGTTTATTTGTGTATCCTTTTTCAGATTGCCCTTTTTAATTACTCTATGTGCAGTGAGATGTGGAATCAAAAAATTTAGAATCTAGTCTCAGATCAAGTCACGTAACCATTGGCAAATGGCAGTCAGGCTTGGTGTTAGTTTTCTCGCCTATAGAATGAGGAGCTTAATCTAGCTCTCAGGGGTCCCATTTGGGATTGCAAAGGTAGAAATTTCAGTAAGGCGTAATGGAAACATTTACTTTTCTCTTAAGATGGCACACTTAAATGTTTCTTTCTTTGAGTTATATATTTTAGTACTGTCACTTACTAGAAATTCAAACTAAGATCTCTTTACAAGTCTTCTACTTCTATGGTTTCACAGTAATATACTGAAACTGGATTTTTTTTTTCTTCACAGTATCTCAGAGATGTTGACTGTCCTTTCAAGATTCAGGATCGACAAGAGGCAATTGACTGGCTCCTAGGCTTAGCTGTTAGACTTGAATATGGAGATAATGGTACGTTTTGTGGAAATGTGTTCTTTTTAAAGAGATAGAAGACAAAGAAGGAGTGTGAAAGTATAGGAACTTAGTTTCTTGGTCTTATGCTCTACCTGTGGCTCATGTTTTACCACAAGAAGTTACAAGCAACTTTCTATTGTCTTCGTTGCTGTTAAAAGTGATGTTTTGTAGAAAAGGCTAAGTGAGTGTCTTTCCAACAAAGTGACATTATTTTGGTAAATTTACCAATAACCTTTTATGTTAAGTTGTTAGTATTTCCAAAGTTGGTGGCATTTTGCAGTATTGATTGCAGTAGTCATTTCACAGGAATCTGGAACATGTATTAAATGTTAGTATGCACTGCAGGCCACAACAGGTATAGTGTATTTTCTGTTTATCCCATGTACTTCTCTTACTAGAAGCTTCTGAGTACTAGCACAGTACCTATAGGAAAATCCAGTTTGCATTAGATTTTATGTTTCCTTTCATTAGACCATTGCATTGTGGAAAGCCCATCAACATCTAAATCTAAGATCTCATCATTGTATCTGCCTCCATTTATGTTTTCACTTTTGGGGGATTGTCATTTCTAGTTTTCTAGTCCTCTGCTTTTGGAGCCTCTTTGATGTCTTTGGCTTCTCCCTTTCCCTCTCACCCTGCCCCCATTAATTGTTTTCCATTTCTGTGGTACAATGTCTTCTCCAGTCCCACTGCTGTTGATCCTGTATTTCAGCCTCTTGTCACCTTCTGCTAAGATGATTATGATACTTGCTGGTCTCAGATTGGCGTCACCCTCCATTCTCAGCAGCATGGCCCACCAGGCTAAGTATGAAACATGAATCTGCTCTACAGTGCCGCTGGTTTCCAGCTTCCTCCAAAAGGAACTGTAGATTTCTTAACCTGGGATCTCAGTCTCTACACATCTAGAGTCTACCCAGTTTTTTAAGCTCCATCTTGTTTTTATTCCTAGCAATAGTAAGATTCCCTCTGAACTTCCATAGTCTTTTATTCTTTGCCTTCTAAGTCTCTGACCACTTTATTTTGCTTGTCCTGCTTACCCGACTTGTGACTGTAACATGTTACCGGAAACTCAGTGACTTAAAACCTTATTTTGGAGTCAGAAGTCCAACATCCATCTCTTTCTACATTCTGCAGTCTTGGCGCTGGCCCCTTCCCTCTTCTGTCTTCCAATCTAGCCACGCAGATTTTCAGATTCTCTGCCCTCCCTCCGTTGTCACACCTTTGTCTCTTGACTGACCCTTTTGCTTCCTGTATGGGCGCCATGATTATGGTGGGCTCACTTGGATGATCTAGGATAATCTTCCCATTTGGGGGTCCTTAATTTAAACATGGATGCAAGTCCCTTTGGCATGTAGTTTCTAGGTATTGGGACATGCATATGGTTGCGGGGGATCATTATTCTATCATCCTCAGTTCCTGACAGTTTCTCGCACAATTTCAGTAATTGCATGGAACTTGCCTTGTGCATGCATGTTAGGTACTGATTTGGAAATCCCCCGATTGGTTTTTGCTGATGCCTCAGACTTAATATTTTAGAAGTCTAATCTCTAATGTGACACTTTTTAAACTTGTGTTTACAAAGAAAATAATTTAGTTTACAAATTTTAATTTACAATGAAAATAATTGTGCTTGTGTTCCTTTAGAAAATACAGTTGTATGCACTGAAGCCTTGTTAGCCTTAATTGATCTTTTGGACCTTTGATAAGGTCTTCTGCTTTGTTTTGCTCTGGGCGAATATGAACTACTTGTGAGCTAATTTGCAAGAAAGTATTAACCATATCAAAAGTGTTTATCAGCTGTTCTCAAATAAACTCATAGTCACGTACCAGTGTTTTTTCTGCTTTACCTTGTGTATTCATTTGTTCCATTTTTATAATTCCTTACCCTTCAGCAGTAGGTGCCATGTGATCAGCTATCCCTACTGCTGTATGTGTATTTACTTCTCAGGAATAGCATAGGTTTTTTTATTGATAAACGAAGTTCATGCATGAGATGTTTGCTGATACTGAAAACAATTACATACAGTTAAGGTAAACGTTAGGGCTGGGGATAATAACTCAGTGGGCACAGTGCCTGCCTGGCAAGCACAAGGTAATGAGTTTGCTCCTCGGTGCAAAAACAAAAAAAAGATATATGGTATTGAAAGTCTGTTAATAATCTAGAGAACAAGTTTTATTTCACCATAAAATTCGGAATGCAAGAACAAGATCTGTAAAAGTAATAATACTGTATCTCAGCAGCAGGGGGCGCTGATGTGCTTTTGAGGTTTTGCATTGATAGATTGCTACTCTCAAAAAGTTACTTATTTTAAATCTGCTGAAACCATTGTGGATTTTTATTAACTACCATACCATTATTCAGTCCTTTACTAGCTTGTCAAGGTGATTAAAATCTAACTTAAATTTTTTCTTGCACTTTTTTGATAGGATTTCAAGATAATGCAGAGATTGTAAGACTAGTATAAAGACTTTATATCCCTAAATTCTGCAAACTTTACTTCATCTGCTTTATGCTGTGCACAAATGCACGCACAGACATACACACTTTTTAACCGATTTGATAAACTGCAGATAATTCTCTTCTACACTAAAAATGACTATCTTAGCCACATTACAGTGATCAGAATCCAGAATATAACTTTATAGAATGTTATCATTTATAGTTGTTATTCAAATTTCACCAACAATGTCAGTAATGTTTTTATAGAATCCCCCCCCCCCCAAAAAAAAAAAACCCTAAAGCAATCATGCATTCAGTTTTGTTAGCTCTTTGGTCTCTGTAATTTGAAAAAACTCCTTCGTCTTTATATATGTTTTATGAAACTGTACTGACATTTGTAGACTGTCCCTTGGTTTGAGTTTGTGTATTTCCTCCTGATGAGGTTTCAAGTTCATACTTTCACTAGAAATAACAGGGAAATGGTGTGCTCTGTCAAATGCATCATATCAGGAAGAAGGTGATAGTGGTACCGACAGTCCCATTACTCATCATGTTCACTTTCACTCAGTTAAGGTGTGTCTACTGTTATGCTGCTGTTTTCCCTTTTGTAGTAAATACCATAACCTATATTTGGGGAGATTTGAGTGTGCTTTTGCTACTCAGACATCTCCCGTCTAGTTTTAGCATCTGTTTAACTCTTGCCTGAATCACTCATGGTTTGATTGCTAAAAGGTGTATGTGCAACTGCAGTGCTTTCTGTGTCCTCTAGCTTTCTACTTTAAGGAGGAGTTTTCCCTTTTCTCCAGTTTGTTTAAAGCAGCATACATGCAGATTATTTGTATTTATGGGTCATAATCTTTTAGTCATCACATATTGATGTTTATAATACCAGATTTGGCCAGTGGGAGTCCCTTTCTCTTCTCTGACTTAAATTTTAAAGCTTTTTTCCCCCTATTATTTCATTAGCAAATTGTACAGATTTTATAGCCTCAGATGCCACTTTGGGCATTAAGTTTTATCATGAATTCTTTGCATTTTTCAAATGAAAGTAAAGAAATCTACCTTAAGAATTCTGAATTTCACATTTCCATAAGTTTTAGATTTGTGTATGATGTATTTGAAGTGCTGATTTTTTAGAAAGCAAGGTTTTTAGTATTATGTGTGTACCATTTAAAAGATTTTGGAAAAAAAAGCTTTAATAAGCTTGTAGTTAATATTACCTCCTCTCATTGTCAGAGGTACCCAGAAGCAGGCTTTCACTGCTAAAATGTAGATGGTTGAAATAACTGTCTTTGAAATGTTAATGAAATATGTGTGAAGTGCGCCAATAAGCATTGTAGCTTAGTAAAAAACAAATCTTTTTCAATACCGCATCTTTTATCAGATGTTGTACCACAAAAAATCATTTTTACACTGACAGTTCATATGCTTACAATTAGTTTAGCTTATGATTACTTCAGCTAAGTTCAGTAAACAAACACTTTATTTTACCATAAGTTGAAATTTTACAAATTATATTTTTGCCTTTTTATAGCTGAAAAATACAAGGACTTAACACCTGACAATGCAAAAAATATTGACAATGCAACTAAAAATGCAGAGCCATTGATCAATTTGGATGGTGAGTATGGATATGCTTAAAACTGATGAGCATTCTTGGTTTCTTAAGTTTTACTTCCTAGTGTAAAGTCCAGGTTTAATGTAGTTTTAGCTAAGAATGCTACACTGGATAGCATGGATACTGACATTTTATTCTGTGCAGTATTTGGTATTCTCCGTCACAGTGTGTTTCTCCCCGTCCTTGGAATTGCATGTTTGAATTTTAAAATGCTGTTCTTTGAACTGTACCAAGTTATTTGGGGTTCTGATTTCTATTTAATCGTGTGGGTCACAGTGACTGTAACACAAGTAGTAAAATGTATCATTAAGACCCATATGTCTTTTAGCAATTCTTTTCCTTTTCTTAAAGTATGAAGAGTCTAATTACATAGATTGTGATATGTTAAATAGACATTTTCACTGTTCACTGTGATCTATAATTTGAGTTACCACGATGAATGAGTAAGCTTCTTGGGCACTCTGGAGCCACTGCTTAGAGAAAAGGTTTGAGGAAAACCGTCCATTGAAGGAATCTGTGTATTAAATTAATAGCTTTAGAAAGAAGTGGTAATTCCCAGCACTTGGGAGGCTGAGGCAGGAAGATCATTGTGAGTTCAAGACCAGCCTGAACTGCATAGAGAGATCCGGTCTCAAAAAGACCAAAAAACAAAAAGGAAGAAAGAAGTAATTAACAGTGCCACATAAATGGTCCTCACCGTCAGTTACAGGGCAAATCTTATGTGAGTGAAGTTAATCATTTTTTAGGTTACTTAGTTTGGCTGAAGAAGTATATTAATAGGAAAATCATTTATCCTTTTACCAAATTGCTGATACTCTGTACTGCATTCATGCTTTTTTATGTCACTGCAAAACAGAGATTTGTTACTAGAAAATTTAAAATGCTTTCTGTAAGGTTCTGTGTTCACAAGTAGGTCTGTTATGTGTTTGCTGAGCTCAAAGGCTTTGTTGTTCATTTTTAATCTTTTGTAGTAAATAATCCTGACTTTAAGGCTGGCGTGATGGCTTTGGCTAACCTCCTTCAGATTCAGCGCCATGATGATTACCTGGTAATGCTTAAGGTGAGTTTCATAGCTTTGATTCTTAACAGAAAGGCCATAGTTGAAAAACTGTACCTTTCTAAATATTGATAGTTAAATTTAGGGTTAAGTGATTAAAATACAGTAGAGGAATGTGGACATGAAGCAGATTTCATATTTTCATCCGTTTTAGATGTCTATAACTACTATCAGAGAATGAGAACCATATGTTTAATCTTTACCAGGGTAATTTCATTTACTCCGAATAATTACAGAGATAGATGTTAATGCTCTCCTTTAAAAGGTTATGTACATGAAGAAATTAAGAACAGAATAGATGGTGTTTAAAATGACACTGAAAGTAATAAAGGCAAGAATTGAGTCCAGCCACTCTGACCCTCTGGTCTACCCTTTCCTACAGTACTCTACCTTGTTTGATCCTTTTGAAGATTCGCGGATTATATTTATTCACAGTGGAATAGACCAAACTAGTAATAGGAAATTTGGTCAAAATTGTACGCCTAGAATCTCTGGGAAGTAAATTATTCTACCTCCAGAAGATGTATTCCTAACACATTATGGACACACCAGCAGCCAGTCAGGGACGTGGTATCTATGATACCAAACTTGGAATTTATTTTAGAAAGCATTGACTTTAACAAGAGTTAAATAGATCTTATACATGGAAATTATTTTACTTTGTTAATACTAAAATGAATAAGCTTTGCTATATCCAGAAGACATTAAGTGATATTTTAGCCTACTTTTTAGAAAGTTTGTCCATTAAATGACAGTTTTAACAAAGGAAATACTGTTACATTCCTAGATTATTATAATTCTCTACACTGAATTTGAATGTTAACTTGAATTTTCCCAGCCCCCATTGGATATCGAAAGCTACAAAGTTGTTTGTAGTGAAATTTAATTGCTTCAAATGCTGTTCCTTACTCAGTTATGTCAATTTCCTAAGAATAGTTCTACAGTGGTCCTGTCAGCTTTCGTTGTAAACTACAGAGAGGAGAAACAGATTGTGGATAGCATGTTTGGGATGCCTTTGGCAAAGGGTTTGAAACCCAGTGGGAAGAATTACACATGAGCTGTAAAAAAGCTTTATGAAATTGCTGTTTATCCCATGTGGGTTGCTTTAAGCAGCATGGAGATAATACATGACAGTACGCAGAGGACCTTCGGTTACTCGGTGGGAGAACCAGTATATCAGCTCTTTGGCAGTCACTCCTAGCGTTTGATTTTTATTAAAACTAATTTTTCAGGTTTTCATATTTGAGTTGTAATATCTCCCTTAAATTCCACTAAAAATTTGTGTTTAAGTGCATGCATATACACCTGCAGTAGTGAAATGCACTAATGCATCCTTTGAAATACCGGAAAATTTCATAAGAGTGTAGTGGGAAAAGCAAGACATAAGGTAGTCCATGTGCTACCCTGTTCTCACTCATAATTTAACAGTGTTGGTAAAGGAACAGTGTCTCCTAGAGAGACAGCTCCACTCAGGAGAGGGACACCCACGTTTTACCACATTCCTTCTGTATGCTTAATTTTTTCTTTTAACCATGCACACCTGTTACCTATCCAAAAACAGTTTTTAATTCCTGGAGGTATCTTCTATAGATTCTGAGAAGAAAGAGTGACTTATAAACAGGCTGTAGAAAGTAAACACAGTATTTTTGGGTTTTTAGGCAATTCGCATCTTGGTTCAAGAGCGCCTAACACAGGATGCAGTTGCTAAAGCAAATCAAACAAAAGAGGTATGTGTGTTTTTTAAATCCTGATCCTGTTATCACTGAAAATATTTTCTGTATTGCCAGTAGTTTAAACTTCATAAATGTGTGTGCAGGAGTTCCGTTCTGTGTTAGAACAGCCCAGAGGAAGGATGGCTTCCTGCAGTTTGATTCATTTTGGTTCAGAGCCAGTTGTGGAGTGTCGTTTGGCAAATAATGAACTTTATCTCACTTTACCCCTTCAAGGAAGTACCTAAAGGTCGCCCGCGGTCTAGAAACTGTTGCACATGTCCAGCACATGTCTTTGAAAGGAGTTACCCCTGTGACATTTATGGGACCGTTTTGACTGGTGCGGGAGAAGAGAGCACACACCATCTCCTTGTTACTGACTTCCTTTTTTAGACCTACACCCTGCCCTTGCTCTTTTGAGTCTTGAGAGTAAATCATCTCACTTTGTTCAGTTTCCTGGCATAAAACATGAGGCCGTGACTTGCGGTAAAGTCACCTGGTTGATGTGAGGTTGAGCTTAGGTCCCAGTGCTCTCACAGTGGGCAGGGCTGGGGCTCTGCCAGGGTGCAGATGACTGAAAAATACCTTGCAGTCGTAGTTTGCAGACTCACAAAACCATCTCACAGAACTTCCTTTCCAATAAAAACCATCCACCCATCCGGGTTATTTTAAGATTATATCAGAGTCCAGTATTTTTTAAAACCTCATTGACTGAGGGCAGATAATGACCGCAGGGGTTACAGAAATGCTGTAGTGTCTCCTGCAGCGCAGGTGTGGCATGGACGAATGCTCGGGTACAGCCCCTGTTCTGGACTCGCTTGTCTTTTACTGTTCCCTCCCCCAGTGTCTTGTCCTCTGACCTCTTTAGCAAGGCCCAGCAGTGTTGAAAGGGTCCTAATACCAGGGCTGCACTGCATGAAACACATTGTTTTCTTCTCAAGATTCTTACTGACTTGTTAAATACTGTGTGAGTTAGGCCAGTGGAAATCGGATTAAAGATCAGCTTGTTTCAATCACGCTGTAGAACAGATAGTAAATTGTTCTGGATAATAAAATCACTGGTTTCATTCAGCAAAACTGTCATTTTCAAAGGCAGTACAAATAAAGGCGTAGTCAAACTTCTCTTATTTGCAAAGAGAAATTTAGTTTTATTTTTGGTGTTCCAAATCTTAATTTCAGTGTCACCTCAAAAGATACTAGCCTATGCTAATGTAGTAAAGTTCTTTAGAGTTTACCAACCAATGTCTGGAACCGTTCGAACTCAGTATTTGATGCGTGGTAACTTTTACTGGGAGCTGTCTCTTGCTGGTTGATTGGCAGACGAAGGGAAAACTGGAGCCTTTGGTACCAGACTGAGGCAGCACCAGTCAGAACAAGTCTGCTCTTCATTTTGTTCACTGTGCTCCATCCCCATGGTTTCATCACAGATAGAATGTGTTTCTTAGCAGATGATACCTGGGTAGGCTTGCATGTATAGATTAGGTGGGAAGTTAGCAGTGACTAAAGTCTTGCATAGGGAGAGTTGGTAACACTGAAAATTCAGGTGTGTCTGTCTGGAACCGGCAATGATTTTGTGCAGAATAATCAGAAAGTCCAGACGGCCTGTCCTCAACTTCAGACACTTACTGTGGAGTCTGTACAGTTGATAGTAGGCAGGTATGCTGATTGGTAAGGTAAAAGAATTGTTTTGTTTTTCATTTCCTAGACTTGTTCAAAGTGACCACCAAAAAATTTGGGAAATTTATTGAACGTTAAAATATATATAATCTGGTAAATTGTGTTACCTGGAAAACGTGTATATATTAGGTTTGTGTCATTTTTAAAAGACAGAGATAAATTTACTTGAGAATCATATTAACAGCAGCCCTGTCTCATTTGCCCTGCACTGGGGCTTACTGAGCCACAGCAGGACAGTAGCAGCCTCCTCAGCCCCCTTTCCTTTGCAGCAGGGGGCAACAGGGCTCTGCCAGCTAAGGGTTTATTTGCCTACCTGATCTAAAGGATCAGACAGGCTGTGGCACTTCCAGTACATATTCCAGTAAGGGCCTTTCCCAACTGATTTTAATAGTGGAAAGCTTACTTACCACAAGTCAAATTAAAACAACAAATTCTTAGATCCCTGCCCACTACTCCTAAGAAGTAAACTAGCTAGGCATTTTCCACAGTTTCACATAAAAAAAGAATGGTGTTCTTAACCGTAGTCTCATCTTGCCTTCTTATTTTTTTAAAGGGTTTGCCTGTTGCTTTAGACAAACATATTCTTGGTTTTGACACGGGAGGTAAGTGATTTTGTTTTAATTCAGACTATTTAAAAAGATTTGGTAAAATTTGGGAAATAAAATACAAAAATTATGTATTAATATAGTGTTCTTTTCTTATAAAACAGATGCAGTTCTTAATGAAGCTGCTCAAATTCTGCGATTGCTACATATAGAAGAACTCAGAGAGCTACAGACAAAAATTAATGAAGCCATAGTAGCTGTCCAGGCAATTATTGCTGATCCAAAGACAGACCACAGACTGGGGAAAGTTGGAAGATGAACGCGTTAGACTTCGCCTCTTTACCTGATTAGTACAGTTGGGAACTCTATACTTTCAGCATGTATTTGGAAATCAAATCACTTTTGAGGGAGGAATCCAAGAAAACTATGTTCTAGAAATTTACCACCAAGTTACTTTTTTTCTTTAATAAAGTTTAAGAAAGTGAAACTTGGGTTTTGCGTGTTTTTTTTTTTTTTTTTAAAAAACAATGTATTGTCATATATTTGTATGATGAGTGCTTCCTCTGTGGTTAAAGTATATACCACCAGTCCCCAGCTTTTTTCATAGAGACAATTTAAATCTTTTAAGTCATAGAAAAATTTAAAATATTTTATTGACGTTATCTAGAAAATCTGAATAATGGCTATTCTTTGGTATTTATAAATGTAATAGTTTGTGTGGCTACTTCTGTAGAGGCCCTTAACAGGGTTAGAAAATACAAACTGAATCATTCTAGCACCTTGTAATATAAACAGAAATGCACCTGATGCAGAGGTAAGGAAACTCAGGACTTCTGAGGGAACTGTAAGTTGCTTCTTTCCTGTCAGTTCTACATAACTTTCTCTAACTACATCAACACTGCTGGTACCCAGGATCGTAGTTCTATACCGAACACATGTGCTTTCATTTCTTGGCCAGAAAAAAATCCATAGCAAAAATTAGATTCAGCTTCTTAAGTTCTTAATTGAGTCTTACTTGAATGAATTTGACCTTTTAAATATGTTTATAAAATGTTGCTTTTAACAAGCAACTAATAAAATGACCTTTTTAAAGAACTTCCATTAACCTTTTTTTTTAAAAAAATACAGTAGTAAAGATTGAGGTATAAATTTTTCACAAAATATACTTAGTCTTTTTGCACTAAAAGTGTTCATCTTGTATGTCTAGGAACTTCTAATGACCAATTTCTTTTTCACTTTCTTCCTTTGTAGTAAATGTTCTTTAGGGTCAAGATTCTGGTTGTAAACATCAGGTCCTTTACATTACGGAGTCATTTTCGGCCTGTGAGGAAAGGGCAGAGGTGAGCATTCTGTAACTAAGGCGGAACGTGTCGTTCTCATTTTATGTGTGGTTAAGCTTAGTAGTAAAGAAGACAGTGGTGGCAGTGGCGGTGGCAGCAGGGGTAATGAGCTACTCCCTCTGTACCCGGCTAGGTGATCTAGAGGTGACTGCCAAAGCCTGTCTGCTTACCTGGCGGGCAGTAGGGATAGACTGCAGTTATCCCGTAGAGGTGAGACCGCTGCTCCGGGAGATACTCATCAATAAACTGGCCGCTGTCTTTGTTTACTGATACAACACCATCCCTGGGAACAGACAGCAACAGAGATTTCATGGAAAATGAGTCACCACTAAATGGAAGAAACAACCTTTATATCTAGTAAAAGGTTTCAGTAGAGAAATCTACTAGCCTTCCAGGGTACATTTTTAAAATCAGTTTAGACTGATTTCGGGATGGTATGACCACAGGGTAGTATGACCACAGACTTAAAATCAGGTTAGCCAAGCAAGAGTTCTGATTCATGGAAATTATGTGTACAACCAGTGGTTCTCAAGGCGGGCCCATGACCAGAAGTCACCTGGGAACTTCTAGGCTATGGAAGTTCTAGGACTCCCTTCAACCTACCCACTGGAAACTAGGATAGAACTCCGCAGTGTGCCTCAGTAAGCCTTTGGGGGAAGCCTGGTACCACACTGAAGACAGAACCACTGGTTTCAGTTGGTGACCCCTTCTAGCTGCTTGTAGAATCACATAAGCACCTACTACAGAACTGATGCCTGAGCCTCCTGCTGAACCCATTTTAGGGAATGGTAGGACATAGAATTTTTGTTTTCAAAATGTTCCCTAGATCCTCATTAGAGACTTACTCTATATAGTGTTTTCAGTCTCCCAGGTACACAGTCCATACTGATAATTACCTTCTGGAAAGTTGTGGCTAGTAAGATGGGTACAAATTCTTAGCTACTGTTAGAGGAACACCTGACCCAAGACCTCCAGGTTAAGGAAAACAAGTCCCTTACCTAGGTAACATACCTCATGGTACCAGTCACCAAATGAGGATATCTTTTTTATTTTGAAGAAAGATTCAGAAAAATGTGCTTTGTTTTTTTGATAATTTATTATCAAATACCTTTGACCCTTTCAGCTACCCAGGAGGACCACTGAAACTGCTGGGTAGAATACAGTACATACACGATTTCCCAAGTAGTAAGCCTTTGAAACTGACATGCTGGTAAGACCAAGAAACACAGTAACTGAGCTGGCTTTGCCGAAGCAGCAGGGTACTCCTGAGCCCAGTGTGCCCGACTCACCTCCTCCAGTCCGTGTGGTAGAAGTGGTCTGCATAGCTGACAATGCTGAAGGGATAGTTGAGGTGATTTTGGATGGCGCGCCGTCCAGTTCCATCAGGCAGTGTGCATTCCAGTTTCTTGGTTCCTTTTAAAACAGGAAGAAATGAGACCCACAGAGAAAACAAAACAGGAAGAAACAGCAAAGACTGGGCATTTCAAGGCCACTGCAGCCACACAAATTAGCAACTAGAATGTCCTCTAGTGCCTGTCTTGTTCACTAGCATTCTGGTTTTCAATGAAATTCAAACTTCTTTGTTTGAAGATTACATCTGCTGAAGTCTGACTAGGTTTCTGCCAAAGTTGATTCTAAAGAAGTATTTCTAGAATTAATCTAATTTTAAGCTGTAGCTTTTAAGTTGTCATAAACATTGGGATAAATATTTGCCCTTTGTAGAGCAATCTATGGCAGCTCAGGTAATCCTAACCAAAATCTTTGTTTAAAAAAAATAATTTTCTAGGTAAAAATAAAAGGAACTAAAATGATAACATGTAAATGATTTTCCAGGGTAAAGGAAGCAATCTTGCAAATCTGGCATCGCTAAACAAATGTTTCCAAGTTTTGACATTTATAGATAAATTTAATTTCAAATACTGCAAAAAAAATACTTGGACAATTATGTCATAAAAGTGACATGCATTAGAGGCCTTTTATTATAAATTCAAGAGCAGCATTTCATAGTCTTTAATAGAATCAGACACACAGCATCTTTTTAGTTACAGTGGTACCTCAGTTCATAAACCTAATTTGTTCCACAAGTCTAGAAAAGATGACCATGTTGATGCTCGTGCAGGAGAGATGGCCTCGGTCATGGTCACCACCAGATAAAACAGTTCACACAGCAAGACAATTTTACCAGAACAAGTTGTTCGCAAACAAAAGTGTTCATAAACTGAGGTACTACTGCATTCCAGTAATGAAAAGCACACAACAAAAATAAGGGTGTCAAACGTGCTATAAGGTATTCTGACATCGCTTTTCAAAGAATGTCCTCAGCAACATAACGTATCAGACTGTTAAGTGATGAGTGTTTACAATACTGGCCCAAAAGGCAAAATAACCTCCGTTTGTGTAGGCTGGTAAATTCAACAGTGGCCAGTATTTTTTTTATCAGGAGGCTGAGTCTCAGGCTGCGGCAAGTGAGCAATACAGGTCCAATGCCTAATTCAGCCTCCCTTTACTCTGATTACCAGAGTTAGAAGAATGATTACAAAACTGTTAGAACTTCGCAGATCAAATAGATTTGCTTTACTGGTATAAACTTAAGATCTAAAGGGTAGAGTTTGGTTTTAGTGTACAATCTGTCTTCAAGCCTGCTGTAATGGATTTCATCGGTATTACCTGCATCCGCCCAGCACAGCAGTTTGGAGAAGGGGTCAAAGGTTAACCCATTGGGTAGTCCAATATCTTTATTGACCAAAATTCTCCTGTCTTCTCCATCTAAAGAAGACGTTTCAATTTTAGGAGCTTCTCTATTCCAGTCGGTCCAGTACAAGTTGCTGCAGGTAAATTTTTAAAAATCAAGATTGCAAAAGAATAGCTATTGTGCAATGGTCAGGGGATGTAGCTCTCTGGTACAACACTTACCTAACCCGTGGGAAGCCCTGGGTTCAATCCCCAGCACCCCCCACTCCCCATAGAAAACCATGCATCCATGGTAGCTGCATCACTGGTTTCCATCTCTGGATATGCTCCGCCCTAAGGAACAGCTTTGAGCTTGGGCTAGAGTTAGTATCCTGCTTCTAGTGAGGGGAGTGAGGCACCGGTGATAGGACACCACCTCCAACATTAGGTTGCAGTGCTTTCTCTACCCTCATTTATTCCCACTGAGAAGCCAGCTGCCACACTACAGGTCACCCTACAGAGACAAAAGGTATTCACTTGGTCAGGAAGCCACAGCCAGCCAGGACACGAGGTCTGCAGCAGCACCCTCAGTGTGCTTAAAAGTGGATCTGTCCCCTGAAGAGCTCTGAGGTCACCGCAGTTTGGCCAGTACTGCGGTTGCACCCTCGTGAAAGAGGCACAGGCCTTCAGGACGCTGCACCCAGACTTCTGACTCAGCAGGCGAGGTAACCTTTGTCCTCTTATGTAACCAAGATGGCAATGAGTTACACAGTGATTGATAACTCACACATAAGACACATTCTGCTATCTGCAGCACAAGGTTTTCCTGATACAGCTGTGTAGAAGTCATTGTTTTAAGGCCCTATCAAAATCCTTGCTGCTGAAACACCTCTGACTCAACTGCACAGACACCCTTAAATTTGTTGAAATCTTGAATTGGATCTTAGTCTTAAAATTTAAAGAAATATCCAGGTGTGGTGGCTCACACATGTAATCCCACCACTTGGGACACTGAGGCAAGAGGATTGTTGCAAGTTTGAGACCAGCCTGGGTTACAAAGTGAGCTCAAGGTGAACCCGAACTGCATAGCAAGACCCTGTCTCAAAAAAGGACACACATACAGAAAAATTTAAAGGAATGAAATTTTTTCCAGGGTGGGGGTGGGGTTGGCTTTAGAAATCATAGAGCTTGGGCCAGGGATCTGAGAGGCCCAGGAGTTAACAGTGTGGTGTCTGCTAAAAGAGAATCTCTCTGGCTTTGGGATGCACACACTGAATGAGTGCTTTATATTTTAAATGCCTTGTTAAGAAGTGCAAAATACTTATTCAACATCTAGCATGCATGGTCTTATTAATTGGAAATGTTATATGAAGGACATAGGTTTACAGTTTGAGCAGATAAACACTGAGAGCATTTTTTATAAGATAGTATTTTATACAAGCAGTAGATGCTTGGGATGTTTCAACTGAACTTCAGAGAAAACAGCGAGAGGCGAGAACCCATAAAGCTGCCCAGCAGTTTGCCCAATGCCTACAACATGAGAAAAGCGGAGCCAAAAGACAGAAAGCCCTTTCTGCTCTGTACAGAGATAGAAGCAGCCATAGGGTGGAGCGTGCCTATCACTGCTTCAGCATTTGACCTGTCCCCTCCCAAGGATGATTTAAGCTATTGAAAACAGTCTCAAACAAGCCCACATAGACCCAACTCACATGGTACTAATTACTCATAGATTGCTTAAGGAAGAAAATAAGATCTATAGGAAGAAAAATACACATGAAGATCTACAAGCTAAGCCCTGGAGCAGCTGTGGAGGATTTAGTTAGCTGAGCTGAATTAGTCCCTGAGTGTTACTGTCTGCTGTCTTGATAAGGAACAAAATTGCTGTACATGCATCTTTGTGCATGTGTTTGGGATTTGAACCGAGGCTTCCCACATGCTCTGCTTTTATCTTAAACTCGTGGCTGGGATCTGGATTTCAGCTTTAAAGCATCCCTTTTCCTCTCAATCACAAAGCACATGGCCAAGGTAGATACTCCTGATTTAGGCCAGGCACCCAAACTAACAGGCCCCTTAAATGGCAGAAAGCCATCCACACTCAAAGCTTTTGGGAGGTTCTCATGGCCAAGTCACCTGGACAAAAATAAACCTTTCCTGTGCATAGAACCCAGAGCTCAGAACCACTCTGAGGCTCTGTACTTGGTATTTGCAAGTCAAAAATCACTTTGCTGAGGGTTTTCTTTACTGATCTGAAAAGCTTCTCTGGAATTCTGCAGGGTAGAAGTTCTACTTCGATATGGTGAGAGCTTCTCAAATAGGAAACTTCCCTGTTCCTCTGACCAAGTCATACTCATTTTATCTTGACTTTCCTGGGGGTGAAAACCAGGCCAGAACAAAACACCCAGCAGCTGAGCTTTGACAGCTCACCCCTGAGTACAATAGAGGGAAATGGTGTGAACCCTATGGTTTCCAAACATGCTGCTGACCCCTTCCTCCGCCAGTGCAACTCCTGAGGTGCTTCCTGGTCATCTGATCCAGACAGCACCTCGCCCCTCTTAGCACACTATCCGAATTCTCTCCATGTCGTAGCACAGCCTAGTGTGATCTCAGTTGTTCACTGTTTTGTTTTCTCCTAACAGAACATGAAGTCCATGAAAGAACATACCCTGTCTTTGCTGTAAGACTGCCTGATGCCTAATAGGCTCTCAATCCATATTTATTAAGTTCATGCATTTGAGCTTTTATTTTCACTATCCCCACCACACACACACACACACACACACATTATATTTAATATCCACGAGCTTGAAATTGGGATCTATAGGAAAGAGAAGGAACCAAGGGGAACCCAGCTGACCCTTGGATGGGATCCACAGCGATGGCGCGGGGGTTCACCAGGTCCGTGTGGAAGAGGACCTTGCGCTCAGAGCCATCCAGCCTTGCCCTCTCTATCCTATCCAGGCCGCTATCCGTCCAGTACATGGTCCTCCGGAAGTGGTCGATAGCAAGTCCTTCCGGGCTCATCAGACCTGAAATGGGAACAAAGGCAGGGCTGGAGCAAGCGCAGGGCAGGAAAGGTAAAAGAACCCAAGCAGAGATCTGCAGTGTTTGGACAGTTTAAAAATGAACTTAGAGCCAGAGTACCTCTAAGTCCCCAGAACCAGGTGACTGCAGAAAGTGATGCTTGGTTACTGGTCCTACCCTGCTACCTCTGTACTAGTAAGACGTATTACCCAGATGGCACCAAGCATCCGTGGTGCGGGGCAGGCAGCATAATCTGTCACTATTCCCACTCCCTGAACTCTGTCTTTTTGTTTTTTAAGAAGAATTCATCATCATCAGAATCACCTCTTCATTCTTCGTTGTGTGGACGTGTTTGTTCACAGAGGGGCTACTCTTGTACAGCTCAATAAAGTGATTTGTATGGATCTTAACCTCCCATTAGATGAAAGGAGGGAAGACTTGGGCATTCAGCAGTCAAGTACGTTTGTAAAATAAATGAAATGCAAAGCATGTGCTGTTGAGTGAAGCCACTCACCCGAGTTAATGATAGTCTCAGGCTCTGCTCCTGGCTCCAGGCTGGCCCGGCTGATTGTCCGCCCAGCGACATCTGTCCAGTACACCATTCTTTCCCGGCAATCATAGTCAATTCCCACGACTATGGAGCCCTTTGTGGACCAAATCATAAAATTAGAAGGACAGGATTTTTTTTTAATCTCCCTCGAGCTCATGTTCATGCATTGCTGCACCGAGCAACCCTGCCCTGAGTTTTGTAGGCAGCAGACAGAGTGGTTAGATATGCAGGCAGCAGAGACCTCCCTGGGGTCAAAGCCAGATGGGACACTTACTGTGTAACACTGTCACTTAACCTCTTTGTGCCTTTGTGCCCGCAATTTTCAAAATGAGGCTAGTCACAGCCCTAATTCTACTGCTACAGAAATTAATACCGTAAATGCATAGAAAGTGTCATACTCAGTAGTTAACCCATCAAATAAGTGCTATGACCAGGAGCAGTAAAAGCATTAAGTTGATGGGGGGAAAAGCCCCTTCAATGATTAGAAGACACAGTGTCAGCAAAGTAAGTCCTTAATATTTGGACAAAAGCTAAATCCTTTCAAATGTTATTGGTACGTTTTGAAAGAGACTTTCTAAAATATGTCAACATTTTTCTCTTCCCCTGTGAAAGGGTTGACATCTTTGCTCTACAGGAGGTACAATCAACCATACCCTCACTTGCTGTAAACACAAAGTCTTCCGTTGTACTCTGCATAAAAGAAAATTTGCCAGAGATTTAGCTCAGTGGTATAAGCACCTGTCTGACAAACATGAGGTTGTAAGTTTGACCCCCAGTACCAAAAAAAAAAAGTCTACAGCTTTCTGGGGGAAAGGACTGGGAAATTGTGGTCATCCAAGCTCAGCTGACAAGGTCTCCCCTCCTTCCTTATTGCTAAATAATCATCATCTTGGATCATAATGCTGAGGCTGCATCTTTTTTCTCTCAACTCCACAGAGGCCTTTCTCCATTTGGTTGCAAACCTAGACTCCTGCTCTGAGGCCCCCAGCAGATGTACAAAGTGGATATCAAGATCCCTCAGGTTACAGCAGCTCCCACCTTGGACAACAGAGCCTCCTGGGGCTTGGCCTGGCTTGGGCCACTGAGAGAGCAGTCAGCACAGGAGATTACGAAGGCTGTGTGAAAGCAGGCAGTTTATACAGGCTGGGGAACCTAAGATCGGTAGGATTTTTACTTGAAAATTAGCAGGTTGCTTGTTCCAGGCAAGAGTACACATTTATATGGGCTTCCATTAACCTGGGAACCATGCTGTCCATAAACCCATATAATGACTTTTAGAGTTTCTTACAAAGGAATTCCCAGTGTGAATAAATTTCCCTATGATGTGCTTGTAACCTGTGTCTTATTTCTTCCTGTTCTGCCCTGATAGCCACCCCGGACTCTGCCCCAACCAGGGACAGTTCAGAGATGCCTTGAGGCATCTGGTGTGGCTAGAATAAAGATGGCTGGCATGAGGAGGCAGCAACATCGCAGCTTCTACCTCTGAGAAACTTCTACAAAACAACGTGCTTGAGTTTGCTGGGGGGGAAATCCTTCTCACCTTAAGATAGAAAAAAATACCTCTTTTTCTGAACACTGGCTGCTTTTGAGCTTTTTGAGAACCAAAAAAGTAATTTGTTTGCAAGTAAACATCAACACAAGCCCTGTGCTATTTTTCTCACGGATAAGCAAGAATCCTGAACATGAAGTTTAGAAAAAGGCAAATTCCAGTTGTATTTCTAAATGTCTTTCTGGGGAACCCTTACTCTTTATCCCATTTTAAAGAAGAAATCCATCTCTGAATTGCAACAGAGAGGCTGCTGGCCCGGGAAACAGCAAGCATCCCTAGGGAAAGCTCCAGCCACTCCTTCCCCAGCTCACACTGGGGAATCTTCACTGCCAAGGAATTAAAGAGGCCAGCCAGAGCAACACATTCAAAAGGCGGGGGAGGGTCAGTGAGGCTGCAGACATCTGATTTCCACTTGGGGCTCCCAACTCTGGAAACTCTCTAGCTGCCTCACTGGGGCTGCCACCTCCTGTCCTTTGGCTTCAAGGATCTGTGGAGATGTCTGACACAGCAAGAACCCTGGGAACTTGGGTTAAGAGCTGCCAATTCTCCCCAGGATTACCACACAGCCTTGCAAAGCAAGACCACTCTAAAATCCCATTAGTCCTAAGAACAGTGGCTGTGGTCCATCAGATGTCATTCCTTGCAAGAAAGCCAGGCCCACAGAGGGAAGCCCTTTGCCCTGGGCCTCCATGGGCTGTCCCAGAAGCCCTGCAAACCCCACCCCACCCCAGAGCTCCACTTTACATGCAGAGACAGCAAGGTCTTGGCCGCGTCCTTCTGAAGCCTGGTGCCATTGAGGGGCAAGTGGCCGATCTGCTGGCCCTGGGCATAGAGCAGGAAGGTGCCCACAGATGGAGGCGTCACGTCAGGCCTTGGCGTGGGGCGCATGGTGGGTGGAGCGACCGTGGGTATACCTGGCCGTGGGAAAGCAGGAGGGGGCGGGAGAAACACAGGCAGGCGGGGAGAGGATGAGTTACTTTCTCACATCCCAGAGCCTCCAAATACATGAAAAGTTCTTCCCCCTAGCCAGATGTGCTCCAGATGTTCTTCAAAAGGAATCCTAATTTCTAGGGTTTGGGTTTTTTCCTTTTTTTTCAAGAATCAATTATGTAAATGACTGCCAATTATGAGGAAGGAAAGACAGCAAAACACTTCCCTCCAACAAAGAAAAGAAAGGATTTTTTTTGGTTGTTTTAGAAGAGGTAAAACCTCTGGGGCCCCAGGGTGACACTGTCCCCTCTCACCCCCAGTTGAGGAATGCTGAAATGAGTCCCAGCTGTACTAATTACAGTGACCACTAGTGACAAAACCAACAATAACTCCAAGCTGGAGTCCTGGGGGAACCAGATTATAAATCAACATGGCATTTAAAGCAGGGACTTCTCTGATTGACACAGAGACCCCCCTCCTGTCCCCAGTGTCACCTGCCATGGGCAACATCGCTAGAGAGATGCATGAGTGTCTGAGGGGAGCCGGGGGCCCTGACACTTACACGCAGGCGTGATGCCAGGCTGCGAGCGTGTGCCCTGCACCTCTCTGCCGTCCTTGTCCACGCACCAGCAGAAGTCGCTCTTTCCATGACACTGCAGGGGCGTGAAGTGGCCCAGATCATCGCACTGGGGCACATACTGGTCGTCCCTGGGTGTGCCACCGTAGTGCTCCAGCAGGCTTTCCTTCCAGCGCTCACAGACGGTCCGGGGCCTCTGGGTGGGCTCTGAGCAGATGGAGAAACAAGGCCTTTGATTGCCAGCCAAGGACAGAATGTAGCTGGAGGTCCGCATGCCTGACCTCTGGGCCTCCTCTGCCTCCCGTCCAGCAATGAGGCCTCAGCCCAGCCCCTGGGTGTTGGGCCAGGGGAGTGACTGTGCTCCAAGCAGGTCTCGGTGAGGTGAGAATCAGGACTCCAGCCTCCCCACACTGGGAGGATCCACCATCAAAGCTGGGCCACATACAGAAAGAGGAGGAAGCAAGATCTGCAGTCAGCTTGGGGAAGGGGAAGATCTCGCCAAGCCCTTAGGGTGCAACCCAGAGAGACATCCCACCTGCACCCTGGGCTCCTCTGCATTGTGCAGACTTCCTGGGGGAATTCAGTGGCCTGCATGATGCTCAGATGCCAACTGTTCTTTTGCGCTTGCTTCAGTCTCTGACATCCGCCACTAAGAAAGCCATCTTGAGCCCAGCCCATGTGCATCTCAGCATTGCTGAAAGCCAGGCAGAAGCCTGAAGCTGAGTCCCAGACAGCCCAGTTTCTAGAAGTCCTTCAGTCACCCTGCCCAAGGACTGTCTCAAAGCCAGGCCCTTCTCTGCAGGCTGTCCCCTCGTTCCTCCAGCATCCTCCCTTCCAGCCTCTCTGCTCAGGTTCCCTTCCTGACATCTGCCATGGGGCCACTGAGGCTCTGTCCCAAGCACAGGGGGTTCTGTCAGAAAAGACTTCACGGCTAGATGTTGAAACAACTTGTTCATTTACGATAGGGTTATCTAGAGAGGATCACTTAAATGAAAGAAAGAGCATTTTACTTCCTGCAATTGAAAGCCTAGGGTCTGCAGAACCACACTGCCAGTGTCCTTGTGCCACCATCGTGTGGATGTGTGAGAGCTCACCAACAAACACTAACCAAACCATGGTGCCCATCAACCTGCTCTTCTAGCCTTGCCAAGATCAGTTAGCAACACCCCCGTATCTTCATTGCCCATAGTCATCCTTGACCCCTTGCTCCTGCTCTCCAGATGGGATACGTCATCAAATCTTATTTCTACCTTCCAAACACATGGGGGATAGCTTTAGCGCTTCATACTTCCTGGTTGTAGGCCCTTCACACAATTATGCTGGGCCCTGCTCCTGGCTGTCCTCTTTCCACTCTCTGGGCCCTTTCTCTTTTTTCCTAAACCCCTGCAAACTCATCCAGAAGGCAGCCTGGTCCCTTTTAAACACAAAAGCACTTTATGCCACTCCTCAAAACCCTGCCATCACTTCAAAGAACAAAGAGCTATCACAAGGGGGCTGCAGCATGAATGGGAAGCAGGAGACTGGAGAATCAGATGCTCCAAGCCCAAACCGAGCCAGCCCCACTGCCAAGCCCCTGTATCTCTGGGGCAAGCAGATGCCCTTCAGCTTGCAGCGGTTACTCCTGGACCACAGGTAGGGAGGTTCTCTTTGCAACCTCATGGAGGCGGTAGGACACCACTGACCTCCTTAGCCATGTGAGGCTCAAGGAATCAGGAGAGAGAAATGCAACTTCCTCCAACACGTGCTGTCCCCTAAGATGGGATACTCCAGGAAAATGCACACCACTGTTTCCATTCATGCTCAACGCCGAACATCCGGCTTGGTTCCAGGGACCACCCAGCAGGGCCCATGTCTCAGTCTGGAATGCAGGCACAGAGCAGTCTGCCACTAGGAAATGAGTCTCAGATAACTGGTACGTGGGCATCTCTCTCATCCCTCACTGTTTGAAGCTATTTTCAATCCAGCCATGAATTTATCTCTCTTCTGCTTCTGCTTGGCAGGGACTTAAATATTCTGAAATCTTGGGCACAGAGTGTCTTTACCCTCTTCAAGTTGTCCCCATTGTGCAGACAAGACTAATCAGAACCTGTAGCCAAAACCAAACCAGTGCCAAGGGAGAAGTCTGGCCATGAGGAAGTCTGCACAGAAGAACGTGTCCCTATTTCAGCCCTTCACCCCTCAGTCCAGTCCCTGTCTGTGAAACATGACTGTCTTAACAAAGTACACAGAATCCGGAACCAGTCCGAATAAGGTAACATCGAACCATCTGGTTTTTCCAAATCCCATCTGGAACCAGTCTGGATAAAGTTAACATCAAACCATCTGGTTTTTCCAAATCCCAGATAGAACAGAACCTAGACTTTTTAAAGAGAAGCCATGAGTGAATAGGACTCCTATGTATTCTTTTTTATTTGCAGAATTTTTTCCCTAAAACTCAGAACAAAGAGGGGCCTAGCATCTCACTATGCGTCAAGGCCATGATGAATTTTTATCCATACAAATCTCAGAACCACTGAAGTCCTGGCCACAACAATTAAGATTGTTAAAGCATCAAAATTATTGGTAATTCTTGAGACCTGTTCACTCTTATAATCCATTAAGAGTTGAGAAAAGAGCCGGGCGTGGTGGCTCACTCCTGTAATCCCAGCACTCAAGAGGCTAAGGTGGGAGGATTGTTGCGAGTTCAAGACCAGCCTGGGCTACAAAGTGAGCTCAAGGCCAGCCTGAACTGCATAGTGAGAGTCTGTCTCAAAAAAGACAAAAAAAAAAAAAAAAAAAAAAAAAAGAGTCAAGAAAAGTATGATATTTCTAGAATCTTGTGCTGCAGTAAAAATGGATCTTTGAATACAAGCTTAGAGATAAAGGAATCTGTTTGGGTTAACAGAGTACCAAACCAATCCTTCTTCACAGAGCTCTTTCATAATAGTAATAATAATCATAATAACAACAACAACAGTTTATGCATCTCTGAACAATTCAGCATGGAGCAGAGAGCTGCCTGGGCAGCCTGCAGTTGGCATCAACACCAAGCACTTGCTAACTGTGCCCCACGCAATGGGACAAGTTTAGGTGATGACAAATGTTCACCTTCAACCTCTCAGGTTGGAGAACTATCACGCAGATTCCTTCGCCTCTTCTGAAGGCAGCAGAGGCAAGAGGGATCCCCCTTTGCCGTGCTGCAGAGGCTGCAGGGAGCTGGCCCTGGGGTTGGAGAAAACTAGCTGGACCCACCCACAGAAGTTTCAGTTATTTTTCCATCAGTAATAATGGAAAAATAATAATGTCATTACTCTCTGACATCTCTTACAGGGGCTTCAGCCTGGCAAGATAGTCAATCACAGCCCCTGGTCTGGAACTCAACAAGGGTCTCGGGGGCTGCAGTGCACCGTGTGACAGAGACCCCGCTGTGCACATCCATGTGTCCCAATAACATAAACACACGCATAGCTGTGTGCAGCTCCTCCAAGCGTTCCTTGGAGAAAAGAGGTCAACAAAGGATGGTGAGAGCCAGCCCCGCATCCGCACGGCCTGGGAGGGCTTACAATCTACCCTCGGGTCAGTGCCATTCTTCCTCTTCAGACCTTCTGATTCGGGGTACACAGTTTCTCTCAGGGTGGGATCACCAGGTGATGGTCCACCCGGGGTGGGATGGAGTCCAGGTGCCAGAGATTTCATAGCCATCCTGGTCCACATAACAGCAGAAGCCAGTGCTGCTGTGACACTGCAGAGGCAGAAGCTGCCAGCTCGCCATACTGGGGGATGTGGACCTGGGACCCAGGGTAGACATGCTGGGGCTGGCACAGCACTGCTGTGTTCCCAGGCCTCTGTTCCCAGGGGGGCGTCTTCCAGAGCCGGGGCAGAGAGAGATCCAGAGTAATAAAATGCACTCCAACCCATGTACCTTGACTAGCTAACATCAAAGTCTTTTAATATTGAGAAGCTCTTTTCCCTACAGCTGGAAGACAGCATGAACCGGAAAAATAGCAAGGCACTGGGACTTAGGAGTCCAGGATTCTTATTTTAGCACTGCCACTCTCTAGTTTGTCCCCAGTTCTCCCAGTACCCTATAAGTACCTAATACCTATACAAGGGGCCATCAAAATATATAGCAAATATTTACACTTAAAAATGTTGTTACAGCTGGGTGTGGTAGCTCAAGCTTATAATCCTAGTACTTGGGAGGCTGAAGCAGGAGGAATGCTTTGAGTTTGAGGCCAACCCAGGCTATAGTGAGTTCAAGATCACCCTGAATTACATGGTGAGACCCTGTCTCAAAAATAAATTTAAACATAAACATTTTATTACAGTAAGAGACACACTGCCATTAATACCCCTCAACTACTGCTCCTCACTTTATGTATCTCATCATTCTTGCCGCTTGCTGAAGAAGATCTGGAAGCTCTCTTTTATGAATGTCTTTACAAGGTGTGATTAAAAAGAAATGCAGTGACTTCTGGTGTGGTCAAAAACATTACTGTGTGTCCTCATCTACCTTGTTCACTGCATCTGGCACCGTGTGACTTCTAGCTCTTCCCCAAAGCCAAAATGACCATGAAAAGTAAACATTTTGTATCAGTTCAGGACACTGAGGCAGCCAGGACAATGCAACTAAGGACACCCATGAAAGAGGATGTCCAGAACTGCTTCAGAAAGTGACAAGAACGATGCAAAAAGTATGTTAAATCAAGGGGCAGGGAGTATTTTGAGGACGGACCACTGTCTTTCACTGTAATAATTTTTTAAAGCATCTAAACATTCACCACAGTCTCTGATCACACTGTTCATGTGTAAAGCAGCCCTGTCCTCAGGGGCCTAACTCGGACCAGGATTAGAAGGTGGTGCTATCCATGGTATCCACGGTATCCATGCAAACATCCCCAGAGACTTTGGAGAGCACAAGCAGATCCACTCAGTCCCTGAGCCACAAGACTGCAGTCTGAGAAGCCCAGGGTTAGTGGCTGTCACACCACACGGGGTGGCCCAGCTCCCCAAGCACCGTCCCCCACGGTACTGACCCCTGACTCACCAGTGCAAATGGCTGCTATTCAATAAGCTCCCGAGGTATTGCATCCAAAGCACACTCATCACAGCAAAACAGGAGAAGAGGAGGGGGAACCAGAGCTGTCATTAGGTAGGATGAGGGCGGGCACGTACCCCAGGCCTGTATGGGTGCTAATAGCTAGTCATGGGGAAGCAGGCAGCAGAGGGTTCCTGGGGGGCCTGCAAACTCCATCCACGAAGGCCCCAGACCAGGCTAAACAGAGCAGGGCTGAGGATCAGAGAACAACAGCATCAAAGAAGCTACAGAGGTGAGTGCCTGGGGTGGCCCCACAAACCTTACCATGTGTGCACTGAAAGCCGTCTCCGAGATACCCAGGTTGGCAAACGCAGGAGAAGGAGCCAGGGGCATTGTAGCAGGTAGCTGCCGGGTGACATCTGTTTTCCGCACATTCATCAACATCTGCAGGGGGCAGGAATGGGGACAGGAGAGAGGGAAGGAAGGAAGACATGACCTCACTGTCCACCACCCGTGTGACCACAGGGCTCAGCGCACGCCAATGGACAAGGGGCAGGAGCAGAAAAATGTCAACAGTTAACAGTAAGCTTCACAGGGAACATAAAGGCTAAGGTACACACAAGCTAACAGGTGACACTAAGTGTTTAGTGTAAGCCAGGCTTGGTAGCCCATTCCTGTAATCCCAGCACTACGGAGGCTGAGGCAAGAGGACTGCCATGAATTTTCACATACAAAAATATACTGCAGTATATTTCTAGAGCATCTTTTCATGTGCCATGAATTCCCGGAAGTTATTACCTTTAAACAAACCTTTGGACTATAAATCATTAATTTCCTTTTGGTAACATTACAATAACGATAAATATAGGGAACAATAGTTTCTTTCCCTTTCCACAGCTGACACCACCTTCCTATAACATCCACGCAGGGAAGCGAAGCGGCAGATGAGGCTCCGGAGGTTTTTCCACTGTGTTAGATGTGCATTCAGTCCTGCCTAATGGGAACCCCCACTAACCAGAATGTTCTTTATCTTCCACTTTTAAAAGAGAAAAGGAAGAAAATGGTACCAGTACCTTTGAGTTAACACATGAACAGAGAAAGCCTAAAGCTGTCAGGAATACTGCATCAATATGAACAGTTCAGGGCCCTCGGGGGGGTTATAGGCTATCTTGAAAATATTCATAATCGTATTCCTCAAGTACGAAATCCTGACACTTCAAGCAAAAGCCCTTGTGATCTTATTTACCAAAGTCAGCACAGGCTGACAGTGGCGGGTCACTCATCTCCAACACGCCCCTTCCCAAAGACAAGACACTCAGAATGGGTTTGTTAACACAATGCCCAGGGGATGAGAGGGACTCTCCTAAAGGCAGCTAGTCTTCCAGAGTAAAAGGAGAAACAAAGGGTCCAGATCTGACCTACACTTGATTGAAAACAAAACAAAGCATTATTCACCTTCCCATCTTATTTATTTATTGGTTCTAAGGTTTGAACCCAAGGACCTCATGCCAAGTTACACCCTCAGACCTCTTTATGTTTTATTTTGAGACAGTCTCACTAAGGTCAGAGTTGCCCAGGCTGGGCTCCAACTTGAGTTCCTCCTGCCTCAGGCTCCCAGAGTGCTGGGATCACAGATGTATGCCACTACGCCTGACTCAGCAGCTTTTTAAGAATGTGTGACTGGAAGAAGGCTGTGATGGGATGACTGGGGTGCCTGAGAGTGAACTGCTTCTCCTTACCACAGCTCATGGCAAAGACAGATCAGCCGGGAAGCCTGACACTCCCACCCCAGGGATGGATGTGAATGGGCTGGGAACAGCGGCCTCCCTCAGCCAGCCTCCTCTGACCTGGATATGCTCTTTCTAATGTTATCCTGCCATCTTAAACTGACCACCTTCCCTTCCCATGTGTGGACATGTGTGACATTACGCATAGGCGTTCTCTTCACAGAAAAGAAAACACTTGTAATCAGCAAATCAGTATTTTTGTATATCCTCTACCTCAGGGGAATTATATATATATATATATATATATATATATATATATATATATCAGTTTCTTTGAGTCTACAATAAATCCTCAAAGACCTATGCCATCAAGTCTAACACCACCCAGAGAGGTTCTCTTGGGGGAACAGCTGGCCTTCCTGGACACCCCCATCGTGTGGACTGAGTCAGGAAGTAGTTACTGATTTATCCGCAAGCTTAGAAAATAAGCCAGGTGTTCAATTAGATGCTCAGTTATGCAGAGACAAGTCAGTACTGTCATATTTCAGGGTGGGCACCCTTTGTCTTTTCAAAAGGACAGTTCCAGTGCCCAGGAGGGCAAAGCTGGTGACTAGCCAGGTCCTTGGGCCTGGAAATGACTGTAAAGCTGGCTGGAAAGGCAAAGTGACAACAATGAACATCCAGCCGAGTGCAGGAAATGAAGCCATTGACTGTACCTAGGCTAGAAGTGCTTCTAATAATAACAGGAACCCCAAGCAATGACAGGAAGCAGGAATTCCTGAGACACAGGGTCTATTTTAAGAGCCTGAGGAGTAGACTTTTATGGTTATACATTTTTACTAAGGGAGAGGGAATTCCCCAAAGCCACCAAGCTACTGATGTCACTAAAGCCCATGGCCGAAGAACTCTGAGCAGACTTGGAAGATCAACCTTCATCTCCCAGGTGCTATTGCCCAGTAAGGAGAAAGCCCTCAAAGAGACTGAAGATATCACTCACAGAAATCCCTGAACCTCAAAAAGGCAGGGCAGGGGAAGGCGCCCTGAATCACAGCCCCCAACTCTTACCTAGGAAGTTTGGACTCCAGCCAGCTGCCCCAGGGCCTACACTCAGAGCAAGCAATGGGGCAGGGTGCAGTCACCATGAGGTTGGAGGGGAGTCAGAGGAGGGGACTCTACTCTACTTCAAGGACGTTCAGCCCTTGGCAAGGCAGATGCTCTCCTTAGGTACCATCAGTGGAGAGATTTGCAGGGACTGATCGAAGACTAAGATTAAGGCGAGCATGGCCAAGGGACAGCTACCCCCCTTTACCATGCTGGCAATAAAAGTCAGGCATTTCCAGTACATGTTTATCATCCATTAAGCTCCCTCAAAACTGGTTTGGAAAATGTGCTTTGAAACTCTCCATTCTGACCTAATGCTTTTCTGCCTCAACACCCTTCCTGGTCTTAATGCGAAAGCAGCTGGACCCCAACCACTGAACTCCAGGTCCCACCACTCATTCGTTTTTGAGCCCAGTGTCATTTCCTGGTACCAACAAATTGTGATCCCATCAGGGACCCCAGTAAAATCACTGCTTTGGCCCAAATCCTTGCTGTCTTGCTCTCTGCTCACCGTCCAGACATCCTGCAGATTGTGCCCTTTGGCAGGTGACCCCTCTGAGATCTGTGAGTGCAACAAACTTCCTTTCCGTTTCCATCCTCACTTCTTCCTGTGGCCGTACCAGCTTCCCCACGCCTCATCCTACATCTATATGCTGAGCACAGAAAACCCCAGGATGAAGTCAGCACCTCCATTCATGCCGGTCCTGAGCGATGACAGCTCTGGGGAACAGGGCCATCTGCAATCCAGCCTCCTCCACTCACGCTCTCTCCTCCAAGAAGTTCCAGCTCAAGACAATCTGCTCTCACAGCAGCAAAGTCGCCAAGATTCATAAGGACAAACGTGCTAGAGATACATCCAGCTCACACCAACACAGCATCGAAATCACTCCAGATGAAGGAAGGCTGGAGAAGATTAATTCTACTTGGAGAAAAGCCTCCTGCTAGTGACTCAGTCCAGCCTGAAAGCCCAAAGCCAAGTGCAGCTTTTGTAGGAAGCGTGGTTTTGAAAAACACTGTAGCTGGAGGAAAGCCCACACTCCCTCCTACGGTTAGTTTGGTGGAGTAAAAGGGGGTGCGACTTGAGAATACACACTTCTCACAAAACAGAACCTCCATCCAAGATCCCTGGTCATCAAGACACATGTATACCGGGGAACAGCTGTAAATAGGAGCATACACTTACACGGGAACACACGGTAAGCTTGTTGTGCATTACTATCTTGATTACTCCTGCCTAATTTATGCAGGATTGTCAGAAAAATGACAATTTGTTCTCTACTTCCACATAAGCCAGCCACTCAGAAGGCTATCACATGGGACTAACTGTGAGAGGAGTGCCACAATGGCCCCCAGGGGCCCCTATCAGTGGTAGGTTCTTGTATAATCCCTCTCCTTTGAGTAACGTACTTGTAACCAGTACAATAAAGTGACTTGGATGAGAGGCCATCTTTGCAATAGTGACCCCCATCTTATAGTAGACTTCATCTCACCAGGGTGAATAAATCAAGCTGTCATGGTAGAGAAGCCCACGTGGCAAAACGGAAGACTGGCAGCAGCCACCAAGGAGCTGAAGTCTCAGCCCAACAGTTCCCATGCCCACTCATCACCAGAAGTATCTCTGGTCCCCAAGGTAAGCCCTGCCCACCAGGAACCCATTGGCAGCCTCTAGAGGGGTCCCAAAGCACAGTGCAGCTAACCCACATCAGCCACCTGACCCACGGGTAACTTATATGTTCTGGCATTGTTATACAGCAACTGATAGCTAATTGTTATGATTTAGATCTAAAGTGGCCCCCAATCCTCATGTGTTTGGAAGGTGACCGAATCACAGGTATGCTATAGCTGACTTGCTGTTAGGAAGTGAGGTCATTCTTCCTGTGTGATCCCTCTCTCTCTCTGCTTCTCATGTGCCACAGAGTGAGTAGTTTTACCTCCTCAAGCCCTTCCTGCCTTGGAGCCAGCTGATCATGGACTGAGAATGTGAACAACAATAAACCCCTCCTCCTGTAAGTTGTGGGTGTTGAGTTTTGTGTCCCAGTGACAAGAAAAATGACCAAGACACTAATACCCAGGGAAGCAACTGATGGGTGTGGTATATACAGTATTTTTATGTTTGTGAGTTCCAGAGATAAGGAGAGGACCAGAGACAAATAGGGAACATTGAAAATGACATAAGCAAGAGGGCAGTTACAATCAAGAATGCCAATACCCTAAAACTCTCAACCTGGAAAGCAGCCAATGTCAGGGTCCTGCTATGATCCCAGACAGTCACCAAAATCTTGTAGGACAAGAAGACATGAGAGAAGGTAAAGAAAATGATCCCCAAAATGATAAAAGCAAGAAGTACCCAACCTAAATTAACATTCTGATTAATAGTCAGCATACCTATGTTGCAGTTAATTTACACTATCTTGCTTTAAGCTAAGGACTAAATACCCTAAAAGCACCATCTCGGCAACTTGAGCAGCCAATATGAAATTCCACAGGTGAGATTTTTGTTTTCTGTGCCTTCTCGTTTCTTACAGCTGGCGGTAGCTTCGATGGCACTGTATAAATTCCAGCGGGGTGGGAAAAGCATTATTTCTACAGTCAGGCTTGGGTATGCCCTCCTGACCCCCACACCTTCAAAGCTGATCCTCCCTCTGTGAAGCATATATCCACTGCAGGTGGAGGGAGAGGAAGAGAGGAAGGGGAGGGAGGAAGGATGGAAGAGAGACGAGAAAGAGACAGAGGGAGAGCGAGACTTCGAGCAAGAAAGAAGGTAAAGGAAACAAAGGAGAAAGAAGCTCTCCAAATATAAAAAGAGATCATCACAACACACACTTTACTTCCCTCCCCCCGGAATCTTATCTTTAAGACATCATGCAGTATTTCCCAAGGTGACTAAACTAGAATATAATGTAATCATTCCAATTTAAGTGTTTCAGCAACAAACACAAGTGTGACACAAACACAGCGAATGTTGAATTTTAAAACTGTATTATAGAAAAGATACATTGCCATCAATCTCCCTCACAGTATGCAAAACACTCTCCCTTGCTTCAGACACACCCCATCTTCTTAGCAAAGTGTCTTTTACTGGGATAAGCTTTTTAAAAGTTACACATGTATGGTACCCTACGACTGCCCCTGATAGGAGGTGGTTGTACTCTTTAAGTGTAAATTTCATAAAACTAGACTGGTAGTACCTTAATACAGGTGTTTTATAGTAAGGCTACATAAACTAACAGTGGCGCACATCTGTAATCCCAGCACTTGGGAGGCTGAGGCAGACACCTGGCAGTCTGTACCCGCTGCCATGCACCTGACCCCAGGGCTGATGTGCTAAGGACCCTGTGATTCCTGAGATCTTCACAGCAGATCTCAGTAACACGGCCTCCCTCAGTAACACAGCCCCCCAACTTCTTTTCATCAGATGTTTGAGAGATGGAAAAAATGAGAGAGAAAGAACTTCATGTGCGACTATCCCTCCAGCTGAGCCCCAGCTCCAAGGAGCAGATGGTTAAAGCCAGCAGCAGCTCTTGGGAACTCGAGGGATGTCTTGTCCCAGGAAGTCATCCTGGGCCTCCCTTCCTGACTCCAGGGACGTCTTTTTCTCTTTGGGCAATGCCAAAGCTGTCTGAGGCAAAGGAGAGAGGTCCCCCCATCTCTGCGGATCTGTGCATCCAGCAGCCTCCAAGGTCCCCACAGCTGGCCCACAGATACTCACCAGAGCACTGGTATCCACTGCCAGTGTAGCCTGGCAGACAGGCACAGCTGAACGTGCCATCCCCGTGGTTAATACAGCGGGCCTGCCCCTCAGGGGCACAGTTGTGGCTGCCATCCTCACAGGGGTTGGGAGGAGGGGCGATCACTGGAAAAAGAAGGCCAAGACGTTCAACAGCTCAGTGTTCTGAATGACTGAGCCCTGCTCCTCCCAGACCACCCACAGTGTGGGCTACACAAACACCTGGGCTCACAGGGCCACAGTGGAAATCTCAGTTAGCAACCTTCATGGATGGCTGCTATGCATATAAAAATTTGTGAAGCACATATGGTTTTGAGGTTAAAGTACTAGGTGTGAAAAATCAGTCATCCAAACAGACCTTGACTAAAGTCATTCAGTCTACAAGCAACTGCCAATCACACACACACACACACACACAAACTCAGAGTGTCTATCACCACTGCCTCTTTATCATCACATTGACTTAAAATGTATATCTTCTCCATTACCATCTAGCTCTACTGGTGGGATGACCTTCAAATTCTAGTCCTTTTGGATCCATTTTAAGGTCCAAAGCCTGTTTCAGAACCATGGAAGAGTATCTTATGGATAAGGGTCTTTGGATCCTCATGTGAGACAAGCCTTCTGAATCAAAAATCTAGAACCTCCTTCTAAATTAAGTATTATGTAAGCTCTACCCAAAGCTGACATTCACTAGAAAGATACAACACAGCCTTGTTGGTCCTCTGAGAAGGTCCTCTCACACCTCATCACCAAAACATCTAGTTATGGGGAAATTGTTCAACAAACAGGGCTAAACTAAACCAGAGACATGGGTTATTCCACCATATGTGCTGTTTTCAGGAAAATCAAAGAGCAGAGCTTCTGGACAGCCGAATGAAAAAGCAAGTTTGAGCACCACTGTGATCAAAAGACAAAGCAATTTTGGTACTCACAGACACACATGCGCTGGTCTTCTACAAACTCATAGCCACTGCGGCATTCGCACCTGTAGCTTCCTGGTAGGTTGATACACACAGAGTTGGGGCCACAGCGATGGTAGCCCGTCGCACATTCATTTACATCTAAGAAGAAATAAGAACAGAAAAGTTGAAATCAAGGGTGCCAGAAGGACAAGAAAATTCAGTCTTCCCACTGCTAAGATGCTTTTATGAGACTTAAAAGTAGAAGGACTCAATAGGAGCAGGGTGAAGGGTTTCTAAGCAACAGGAATGAATGTAAATTGCAGGTGATCAGAAGTAAAAATTCAGCCGGGCGTGGTGGCTCACGCCTGTAATCCTACCACTTCGGAGGCTGGGACAGGAGGATGGTTGCAAGTTTAAGACCAGCTTGGGCTACAAAGTGAGCTCAAGGCCAGCCTGAACTGCATAGAGAGACCCTGTCTCAAAAGAAAAAAAAAAAAAAAAGAAGAAGAAGTAAAAGTTCATTTTAAGCATATGCAGCAAAAGCCACAAGGAGCTCATCCTTGAAAGACTAGTTTAGGAATTCTTTAGGTGTTTAAAATAATAGCTTTTTAGAAAAAAAAGTCCACCAACAAGTCTTTCTAATATGAAGAAATTTCTAGTTGCTTTTTGGGATCTAAGATGAAGAAAACAAAATGTCGGAAATGTAAAGAAACTGAAAACATGCCTTTTAAGGAAATCTAAGAACTACTTAGTCAAAGTCAAAATTATAAACCTTAAAATATCTGCGAATTGCAAAAACATGTTTCCTTTCTACAGCCTCAATCCAAAGCACAATATTTTAGTTTTTACATAATCGTATTCCAATTAACAGCTGCTAAAGTGTCCATCGGCGGCTATCAGAGACTGCAGCTACGTGTCGTCCCTACACATGAAGGTGGAGGTGGTAAAGGAAACACAAGGGACAGGCGACCGCCATGGTGGGTGGGGAGGGGCTCTTACCCTCGCAGCTCCGCCCATCGCCCTGGTAGCCGGGCGCGCATGCGCAGGTGTAGTCCACACCAGTTCCCGGGTGGCACCGAGCTGCTGAGTCACACGTGTGGCTCCCGTCGTAGCACGGATTCACCAGAATGGGCTCTGAGTCCACTGCATGGGTGGAGAGAAAATAGATGCAAGCTGGTGGGCTTACAGATGACATGCGCGGGGAAGGACGTGGAAAGAAGAACCCTGGAATTGCCTGCATGCACACGTGCGTTGTGTCACATTTGGGGACTACTAAATCATGCACATGCAAAGCTCGACTGGATTATCTGCACCTCGGGTTTAAATTCCAGAGTGGTTTCCTTTTGCCTGTCCTGTAGACGAGTTTTTCTTGCTTTTGCTAGGTTCGTATCTAGGGAATGAAAATATCCAACATCTGCTTCCATTTAAAAGAGCTTTTTCTCTATCTGCGATGATTCTCAGGATAACTGTTTCCCAGGTAAGGACAGTCAGTCAGGGACGTGGAGAAAATCACCCAAAGTCACACAGGAATTATTTCGACAGGGACTCGGTATTCAAATTTCTGGTTCTAGATTGGGGATAGTCTCTCAGTAAAATTCACTAAGTCTATGGGTATGGTATGATTTAAAAGTCTTGCTTTCAGGATTTACCTTCGTCATGGATCCATCCAGGATGGTGATGTAGTGATGAGAAACATCTGAAATCTTCCCTAACGAACTCTGTTCTAGATACAACATAACGGTTCATGTTCCTGGAGCACTCATTAACTACAGTGTAGTGGAAGTATTATTACTGTATCTTTATCAGAGGCCGGGAAACCTCAAGTTGCACAGCCAGACAAGGTGGATGGAACCACAATAAGATAAAAATGCAGACATCCTCGTTCTGTGGCCCATGCTTCCTGCCAGAACTTTATAAGGTCAGCACATCAAAGCCGGCAAAGACAGCAGTGTTGGAAGAAGCTCCGTGCTCAGATGGTGAATCAAAACTTTGGGTATTTGTTTACTTCAGTTTCCGCAGGTATAAACTGACCCTAAGTCCCAACGCATTGCATTTGGATGTTGACCCCCACACAGTCTGCAGGTATCCAGTGACTGCGTCCCTTGTTTCGCCCTCAGCGAGGCCATGGTCATCCTCGCTGGAGGTTTTAGCTCTGTCTCAGTTCCTGCAATTAATTCTGAGACTCAAAAGATTGCAAGGCTGGTTGATACTCCACATCCTTCTGCTCTGGACAGTTCCCTGGAAACCAGCTCCTTGCAGCTGTAGCTGCACCTCGTCCCTGCCACCCCTGCTGGATTCTCTATCCTTCCCATCTCTATCCCACCCATCTCCCACCCAGCTGACCTCACACAGGTGAGACCTGCCCAAAGCAGCTCTCAATCCACACCCCAGTGCTTGCTGCTGTAGCCTGCCTCCTAGACGGGCTTCCTTGTAGTCCTCAGGACATCTGCCCATCTCCCCACTGCCCAAATCCCGACCCCTCCAATTTTCTCTGTAGTCTGTTGTCGACTAAGATGCCTTAGCTGAGGCACCCTCACTTTCTGGTAAATTCCCAGCATCCATTTTACAGGAAATCACCTCACATTCCTGTAGCACAATAACTGCCCCCCTCCCCCATTATTACCGCCTGAGAATAAGGAGAGCTGTGGTTTGTCCTCAGTTCACCTCAGTGCCATGGACTGCAGCGATGGAAGCTTCGCCAAAATAAAAGACCACCACAGAACTCTGACACTTCTTAAACCTCAAGAGCTTATCCCAGCACAAGCCAAGCTCCCCCTAACCATGCAGATGTCCTTGGAAATCTTTTGCTCTGGCCTTTTGGCAGACAGGAAGGAAGCACAGCACTGGGGCTGCAGTGGCTGAGTTAACTTGGGGGTGTAGACCAAGCTCTGGCATCAGACCCAGCATGTGTTGTAACTGGGAACAGCTGGGTCATGTCCTCACCGAAGACCCAGTGGAAGACAAGAACCTGATTCTCCCTCGTCACTAGTTCTCCATTTTAGGAGAAGATTCTGTGCAAAATGCCTGGCATACCTTGCCAAAGGGGAAAGTCATTTTCAGAATGTTTTAATTTATAAATACGAACACTGAGCCTTCTTAGTACTTCGCAGCATCAAAATTTCACCGCGGTACATTCCAACAAAGATTAGTAAGTGCACAGAGATGGCAAAAGCTTGCCACCGTGCGAGGCATGAAGAGAAAGATAAACTTTAAAGGCACTTCAGAGGTGACTTACCATCTTGGGACGATATACACGATGACACGTGAAATTAAGGAGAAAATGTCCCTGATTGTGTGCTAGGATTAAAATTACTTGCAGATAGGGCCAGTTACATAATTCACAGAGTCCATTGCAAAATGAAAAATCAGAGCCTACTGTCAAAAAATTTAAGTATTTCACTGACAGCAGAGCATTAGGCCAAGTACGGAGCCCTTTGCTTCTAAACATAAAATACACAGATTTTGTGGTGCTGAGGCTCCAGCCAGAGCCTCTGGGATGCTAAGTGAGCACTGTAGGACTGAACTACATCTTCACACCTCCAGATATTTTCAGAATACATTTCTAAGGTCTTTTCACTATTCAGTCCTTGTGGCGATTAACTTTCCTCCTATCACAATAAGAACAACAGTACCCTTCCCAGGCCACCTTGCAGTTCAGCCTCATCACGCTGACAAGGATCTGGAACTAATTTGCTCATTTAAGCAAGTGGGAAGAGTGAGTTCCTTAAAGGAACAGCAGTTGAGCTTCACTGCACAGCCCTCTGCCCTAGATCTAAGCCCTCCGAAAGGACCTCTAGACAGGAAGTGTTCCTGGGTCTTGTTCTAGGACATCGTAAACCACCACCAAGCCCCCTGGAAGCTGGAACAGCTGGGGACTGACTGGTGGCAGGGAAGACAGCATGTTTCAAGCTCAGATTACTCACTGGGAAAGATGATCATTCTGCATCTAAACCAAGGGAAACCATGGCTCCATACCCGGGGACCCTCAACCACTGGGACATTTCACTACCGCAAAGGAAGCCTGTACATGTTAGCTATTAATGCCTTCTCCCTCTCCTCCCTCTCAGCCCTGGGCAACCTTTCACCTGATGTCTCTGTGGATTTGCCTATTCTGGAAATTCTATATAAATGAAATCATGCAACATGCTCTGTGTGTGCATGCGTGCGTGCAAGCATGTGTGCGTGTGTGCATGTGGCTTCTTTCACTTTGCGTGACACTTTGAAAGCTCATCTGTGTTGCAGCCTGTCCATTTCTCTTTGTGGTTGAACAAAGTTCCATTGTGTGGACTTAAGACTATTTTCTGTGTGTTCAGCAGCTGATGGACATTTAGGATGCTTCTATGAATTTTGAATTAAGTTCTCATTTCTCTTGGACCTATAATGTTTCGTATTGCCATCAAATGGTAACTTTGTGTAAATTTTCTGAGAGACTGCTATTGTTTTTCAGGGTAGCTGCACTGTTTGACACTCTTGCCAGCAGTGAAGGAGGTCTCAGTTCTCCACCTAATGCTTGGGTATTTTTTAAGTCATCCATATGATGTAAAGTAGCATCTCACTGTGGTTTCGATTGCGTTTCCCTGATGACAAATGATGCTGAACTCTTTTTACTCATTGGATATTTGAGTGTCTCTAGAGAAATGTTCTTTCACAGCCTTTACCCATCTTTTAATTGGATTTTTCTTTCATTTAGAACAGTACTTCATATATTCTAGAACAAACCCCTTATTAAATATAATTTAATTGCTCCCATCCCGTGAGTTGTATTTTCCTTTGTTAATGGCCTCCAAAGCACAATTTTTTTTTTTTAATTTGAAGGCATTCTTTTTTTTTTTTTTTTTTTTTTTTTTGTCTTGATGCTTGTGCTTTCAGAGTCATGGCCACTGGCAATTTCAAGATCACAAAAAACATAACCATGGTGTTTTCTTCTAGAAGTTTTAGCTCTTAAATTTAGGTCTTTGGCTCATCTCGAGTTGATTTTTGTATATGCAGTGAGGTAGATTACATCGTTGGAGACTAGAGACAATTTTAATTTTACCTTTCCAATTTAGACCCGTCTTATCTCATGTTCTGGCTATTTCCAGAACTGGGTTAGATGCAGGGGCAGAGGCAGACAGCCGAAGTCTCTGGCTGGTCTTGAAAGCATCCGGTCTTTCACCATGAAGCATGATGTCACAGTGGGTTTTTCACACATGAAATTTTCACTTTATTTTTCCAGGCACTTTTTTGCTCACCTTGTTTTGGTGAAATTTTTCTCATCCTTTAAACACTTACTAAAAATGTCAGTTCCTGGGGGGACGTCTTCCTAGTTAGGCTCCATGTTCCAAGCTAGGCTCCTAGTTCCCTGGCCTTGTCACAGTGATAACAATGCTTGTCCCTTGCCCAGCCTGGCCCCTCTGCGTGCACAAGCATTAGTGTGAGCAGCACATACTATTGGGGTCACCAGAGACCAGCTTCGGGCACTTGGCATTGCTCCCCAACCTTGGCAGGGCCTCTGTGCTACAAGTTCCAGTTCTATTCCTGAACACAGCACTCCACCTCAAAGGCAGGGCCCCTGCTTTATTTACTCCTACACTCAGCACCTAACACAGGGCCTGGCACTCACGAACCCATGCTTACCTCTGCACATTGTTCCGAGACCTCAACAATAAACTAATAAAACTGAGAAACCTTACCTTCCACCGGGCCAATCTGATTGGTCACAGCGAATCGGAGCACTCCTTCATCCTCACTGTACAAGGCAAAGACACGGTCCACCGACAGCTGCTGGGGGGTGGGGACGGCTTGGCGTCCAGCGTGCCTGCAAGCCTGGAAAGTGATGTTCTGGTGGATGCGGTACGAGCCCATTTGGTTGAGGGCTCCGAAGGTAAGAGAGTAGTCTCTGGAACTTGTGACAGTCACAGCTGTAACAGACATTTTACAGGCGAACTGTTAAATATTTTAAAATACAAAGTGCAGAGGGTTTTACGTGGGGTGGGTTAGACTCACACACTCTTCACCCACTTCCTGGCGCATATTCACTTGGGAACTCCCTGCATTTGTGTGGGAAACTTGCAAGGGAAGCCCAGGAAACCCAGAGGATGCAATTCCCCAGGGCTGGGAAGGAGGAGGTGCTACAGTTGCTACTACCACGAGCTGTAAGGAGTAAATGATCCTGCAGATATCCTGCCTTGCTCACACCTCAGCAGCTGGCACTGTCATCATGGCACTACTGCCACGGGAGCAGAGACTCACAGAGGCCGAGGTGCAGGACTGGGACATGGAGAGTGGGAACTGGAACTCAAATCCCTCTGACTCTGCACCCAGAATTTTGAACCTCCTGTCCCCTACACCGCACAGAGCGATGCTTCCCAAGGTCTCACTTGGCGAGGCTGCACACCTCTGAGAAGGGAGAGGCTTGCTGGGAGCAGAGTGCAGGTCAGTTACACAGCTCTGGATCATTCTGGGCATGGTCCAGGTTTGCCTGTGTCACCTGTCCAGCTTCCGGCCCTCACACCATGCATGAAGCCCGGCCCAGAGGACAGATATGACTCCAGGGGTACCACACATTGGCTACCGCGACCATGCCATATTTTACATGCAGGTAACACTTTACAGGATACACCACCTCCTGCACAAGTATAAACTAGGTAATGTAGACAGAAAATATGCCTTTATTTTCATGCTAAAGAAGACACGAGTGTTAAATGATCTTCTCTCATAGATCTTAAATGCCAGGATGTGAATTCTGTCTCCTGACTCCATAGACCGGGTTGTTGTTGATACTATTACTAAGTATTGAGTAAGGATATTGATGTTCCAGTGTAGGATAGCTAGGACTCTGCTCACTTACGCTATGTATTTCATAAGAATAAAAAGAATACTAAGTTCATTTGAGATGCCAGTGTTCTAGAACATTCCATGTAGCTACTCATGTAATCCTCAGAACTGTGGTAACTGGTGAGGCAGGTACTATCCTCATTTGGTAGATATCACTGGTTACACGTACCCGAGTCTGAATAATGGTAAAGCTCTTTGTAGGGTGGGATGTGGGCCATGAAATTTGCTGGAATGGCGGGCACCTGGCCTTGGATGTTGGTCTTCATGATCAGGTAGTTCTCTGAGTCAAGTCCCTCGGCAGTCTGAGTGATCCAAACCCTCTCTTCTCCTGGGTAGAAAGTCACTTCCGCGTTATGAACAAAGGCAGCACCTGGACAGGGAAAGAAAATCCACACAGATGTGAAAAGAGGCTGATGACTTCTACTGTTGGGGCTGTGGCCCAGTGGTGGAATCTGCTTTGTACAAGAGGCCATGGGCTGCACACCCTGCTCTGCAAAAATGAATGATTACCTGATTTCTACCACTGTGAGAGATGCTGCCTCAGGAGATTATTGCCCAGCCAAACCAAATCCTATTTCCAGTTGGTTCCTTAAGCTCACAACTTTTCTATTCCAGAGTGGTTGTACCCTGCCTTCCCCTCACACTGCTTCTCTGTGCAGGGGCTTGTATTCTGTGAAAACTAAACTCTCACAAACATCCTTGACTTCTTTAAGGTTGCCAGAATTGGCAAACACAAAAGAGTAAACAAAATCAAAACACACACACAAAAAAAACATAAACCAGAACATCCAATTAAACTTGAATTACAGATAAACAATGTATGTTTTCATATATGTCTCATGTAATATTTGGGGCATACTTATATTTTAAAAAGTTCACTATTTATCTGAAGTTCAAACTTAAATTGCTATATTATATTTTATCTACTTTTGAACCAAGGGTTTATTCAAATATTTTGATTAAAGGCAAGATACTGTATAAACAGCCATTTGGCTCTAAAGTAGGAGATGGGGAAAGAATTTTTTTCCAAAGCACTTTATTTTTCATGTAATAAAGAAAAAAAGCTCTTCCTAGGTGGGTATGTGAGAGGCTGTATTGGTTACTTTTCTCTCATTGATAAGATAAAATACCCAATACCCAAAATGAGGAAAGGAAAGATTTATTTAACTCACAGTTTATGGAGGTTTCAGTCCATGCTCAACTGGCTCCAAGGCAGAGTGGCATGGCTGAGGTGCAACTGTTCTTGGCAGATACCACAACCAATAAGAGCAAAAAAGAGAAAAAGAGGGGAGCAAACTGCTTTGCCTCCCTTATATTGTATGTAAGCTACCTACCTGGGGCAGGTATAGTACTCACACTGCCAATTCCAGTGCTAGACAACGAATCAATAGGAAACTCTAGATCTTTGAAAGACCCCCTCATGACCACATGAGGCTTTGGGGGGACACCAAGACACGATCCATAACAGAGGCCAAAAATCATCCCCTACCCTCTTGCTATCAAAAAGAGATCTTGGCTCCTGGGCACCTGTTGGAGAACAGAATCACTGACCTCCTAGGTCAGAATTTGCCTTCCCACAAGCCAGAAAGGAGATCCATGTGCAGGTCCATGCTGAAATGCACTGACCCTATCAGTACAGGACGGGGTGAAGGGAGGGTGAGAAGAGGGTGAAAGAGGAAAGAAAAGAGGAAAGGGGGAGGGTGAGAAGAGGGCAGTAAAATCATCTCCAAGTGCCTGATAGGTCTGTTTTGTTGTTGTTGTTGTTTGTACTCCTACTTGACAGATCTGTACCCAATAACTCAAACACAGCCTGAAACAAATATACTTGAACAAATTGGGATAAAAGAACACAAATGCTAGTAGAATCTTCCTATTTCTCAACAGCTAGAAGAACATTTAGAAGCAATCACTGTCTTTCAAAAAATCTGTTGTGCAAACCCAAATCACTCCCAATGGACTCTGCACAACAACTACACATCTGGGCTGCAGAGTCAGAAACCCTTCTCCCCTGAGTATGAACTCCAGGCGCCACCCCAAGAAGCACCTCGGAAAGCAGATTATCGGCCCCTCCCAGGGCCTTGCTCACCTGTGAGGCTGAAGCCATTCTTGAAGCCTGGTTTCTCCAACGCAAAGAGCCAACCAAACAGGCCTCCAATTGGCGTCAGGGGGAGCAGGGCTTGGGCTGCTGGTGGTGGGATGTGGCTGATGGCTGTGTAGGCTCTGCCATCGTTGCTCACAATGTACGCATGCAGGTCCACGTCGCTGAAGTGCACAGGTGTGTGCCCCACATGGAGATGACCGCTCACCTTCCCATTGACGCGATGAGGTGCTCCTGGGAGACAAAATCCATCAGCCAAGCTGGGGGTGGTTTGCAATAACTAAGTAGGCATGCAATAAACAAGTGTGCAAAATAATTCCATTTAAAACTCCCCACGCTCATGCTCTACCAAGCCCTCCAAATGACTGCTTAGCCAACCAATGATCCATTTTGAAAGAGCACTGTCTGCAATCTCTTTTTTTTTGAGAACCAGAGGATACATTTCTGGGTATCTTCAAATTGGGGAATCAGCACAAAACCAAATCATTCCTCCAACATTTATTCAGCATCTGCAAGGTTCTAGGGCTTGAAATCGCCATTAATCACCTTCTGGCAGACAGTGCTTCCCATTTCCGTTAAACCTGGACTGGCAGTGGCAGCAAAAGCCGGTGGCATAGTCCGTGCAGAAGGCATGCTGGGAGCACTGGCCGTGGTGGTGCTCACAGGTTTCCTTGTTGGCAGAGTTATACGTAAAGACTGAAAAATAAAACAGGCTTGCATTAGGTCCACAGAGTGATTCTGGCACCATGGCTGCCAAGCTTCACCGTGGAGCGGCATCTGGTCTGTGACACCGATTTGGATTGTAATAAACAAAGAGGTTTTTGAAGTCGAAGAGACAGGAATAACATTCAGTCCAGGAGGTTAACTTGCTTTGTCTTCTGGCAAGAGGCACCGCTTACTGCTGCCATTTGGGTCTTCTTGCAAGGCTGGTGAACTAAAATAAGGCTGCAGCGCAGATTGGGAGAGAACCCAGAAATATGCATACGCTGGTGTGGACCTAGGAAACTGCCAATTCTGTGGATTAAAGATGCCACATACCAGCAATTGTGCACGGTCCAATATAATACCCGCTAAGAGAAGGACAAAGGATAAGCTAACAATTGGAGTCTAAGTTTCTTTCTGCTTTTAGGGAACCTTGAACTTTAAAAAGGAACCGATAGTGTCTCGACCTAGAAGTTTGGATTTGGACAAAGAAGAACTTGCTAGGGATTTAGCTCAGTGGCGTAAGTGCCTGCCTGGCAAGTGCGAGGGTGTGAGTTCAATCCCTGGTACCAAAAAAAAAGCCTTAAAACTTGCATATACATCTACATTACAGAGTGGGGAGGAGGGAGGGAAGAGGGGAAAGGAACAGGGAATTAAGCTGTTAAAACCCTCTCAGTCCTTACAAGGTGCCTGGAGAAGGTAGGGCACAAGCAGGATTTCAGGTAATACCAGCAGGCTTGGGCTACAGTCACAGATTGCCTTGAAAGGTATGGTGGATCAGGTATGCTTGACGCTCCAAGCACTGCTGCTCCCGTCTCCACTTACTCTGACCATTTAAGAAAAAGAAAAAAAGCAAAAAGGCTGTTTGTGTTCCAGAAAAACAAGGACATTGGGGGATATGCCACCATCCATCAAGGGAATGGCTAAGGTAAATGAGGTGTGGATGGGAGGTCACAGATGAACCCACGGGTGCTGCTTCCCAGGATCGTGGGGAATGTGCCAATCCCAAACATGACCACCAGGAGGCAGTCTGGCTGTGCACTCCTCCACCTGGGTCCTGAGGAGGAGATGGGATGCGTAGGAGACTCCAGGAGCACCCTGAAAAAGAAAAGTGGCAAAGAATTGCAGTACAACATGCTGGTGCTGGTGTGGGGGGTCAGATCCCAAGGATGGAGGACACCCCTCTGTTGGGTCACAATTGTGATCCAGGTCTAGGCTTAAAAGGAGAAAACAGGAGAAGAAATCAAAATATTAATACCAAATATTGCAGGCAAGAACAGAAACTAATGAAAGAAGAGAAGGCACCATATATGTATTCAGCAAAGCAGTCAATATAAAGAGTTGGGTCAGCAGCTAAAGTTAACATTTAGATGGTGCCTGATACACACAGATAGGCTTCCATCAACTGTAACTCTTAATCAGTTCAGGCTTGGCTTGAGCTCACTTTGTAGCCCAGGTAGCAGGCATTGTTTTAATCCCTTTTTTACAGATAGAGAAACTGAGGCAAAGAGGAGGTAAGTGACACACCCGACTGAATTCACCCAACTTGTGACACAGGTGGATTCGAACCCAGAATCTTAGTTGCTTATGGCTCCAGAACCTACATTGCTGCTCTTTATTCATCTCCAGTGGGACTCCGTTACACATAAGGATAAGATTAGGAGTTTGGACAAAGCCCATGCTGGCTCCAGCAAGAAAGTTTTGAGTGAGGTTTTATGAATCAGTCTTCCAGGTAGGAAAAAGCAGGGATTATGGGGATGAATTTGACAGCATACTAGAAAAAGCACGGATGAGAAGCAGCAATTTGAAGACACACAAATGCTCCTCACATATCCTTAAAAACCAGCAAGCTGAGTGGGTCACACAGATGACCTTGACTGAAGTGGAAAATGTGACTAAGAACACAGTAAAAATGAAGCTGGTGACCCAAGGCTTGGTTTTATAAGGCTTTGAAGGCTTCGCTGAGGAATTCCAGTTGATAAAAATAGAAAATTAGACAAAATTCAACTTTTTTTTTTTTTTTGAGACAGGGTCTCTCTATGCAGTTCAGGCTTGGCTTGAGCTCACTTTGTAGTCCAGGCTGGTCTCGAACTTGCAACAATCCTCCTGCCTCAGCTTCCTGAGTGCTGGGATTACAGGTATGAGCCACCACGCTTGACTTCAACTTTTGTAAAATAGGTTAAGTGACAGGTATAACTTTTTAAACTGGCAAATGATGAAACTCTAGGCAGAAAAGGGCAGAATGGGACATGGTAAAAATGTTACAGAGGTCACTGTCAAGAAATGGTATCACCATCTACACTGTTTTGAAAGAGAAGAAAGTTGAGTCATGAGAATAAATGGAACCTGGGTCCAGACTTCTCCAACTCTGAGTGTCACAACTGAGTGCAAAGCATCATTTGTCATCAGGCTCCTGGGTAAGGGGACAGGACAGAGGCAGCTTCAGGCTTTGCACAAACCAGACGGTGCCTGGGTTCCTCACCTATGAATCAGGACCCACCTTACATCAGCACTGGCGAAATCACATTTTTTTTCTTACATTCCTCTGAGTGCTAAGGCAAAAAGGCAACCTGATGGAGGTCTAAATGGTAGGCATTTTCAGGACATTCAGGGAAAAATAAAACCAGCTTCTACATTGTTCTGTCTGCAAATTAAGGAAACGATTTGTATTGGGGTCTCTGAATTTCTATTATTGGGAAATCTTGTTCTTTGGTCCATTTCCTTCTCTAAAACTAGATTATGAAACAGGGAGAGGTGGGGGGGGAGAGACTTAGGTCCTCAGAGTTAGGTTAAATATCTTAAAATCTAGTGTATCCACAGCTTTTACACAGGTAAAAAGAGGCACAGCAACACAGTCAGCAAGTTACACCTGCAACTATGCATAGGGTAACAAGTTCATTAGACACCAAGTCATGTTTTTCTATAAAATGAAAACAGCAAGCCTGGTGTATAGTGCACACCTGCAGTTCCACCCACTTGCGAAGCTGGGGCAGGAGGTCTCAAGTCTGAGGCAAGCCTGGGCAACCTAGCAAGACTTGATTTCAAAATAAAGACCAAGGGTTGGGACACAACTCAGTGCTATGCACCCCTGGGATCAACCCCAGGACCACAAAAATAAGGAACACTCCAGCTCCCACAAAAAGCCACTGGGAGACTCCAAAGTCTAATTATGATGAGTTAATTAGTTATTGGTAAGCTAACCTGGGAATCTTTTTTTATGGAAAATTGCTTTTTAGGGTGAAACTTGCTAAGCCAAGCACGCGCACCGCAGCAGCCACAACAGAGAAAGGTTAGCGCCCTTAGTAATGCCCCTTCCACACACTCCTTGACACGTGGGTGCACACGTAGATGTGCACACTTAAGGTGGCAGCGCCTCAGGAGAAAACTACATACCTTTTGCAATATTTTTTCTATTGGTACCGGGGATCGAACTCAGGACTGCACACTTGCAAGGCAGGTGCTTATGCTGCTGAGTTAAATACCCAGCCCCACCTCTTGCAATTTTATTTATTCATTTAATAACTAGGCAGCCTTTAGTGTGTACTCCTCCAAGGTCTGGCCCTGGTTTAAATATCAGTGATGGAGCTGGGATCATGAGACACAGAAATTCCTGGTCTGAAGGTTACATTGTCTTAGCAGCAGTCAATAAACAAGTGCAGAATTTAGCACAGCAGATATGTTAAGGGCTCAGCAGAGCAGTGAAGGGGAGGGGAGGATGGGCTGATGCCTTCACTCTTCAATGCATGGGCAATGGGAGAAGGTGACCCTTAGGCAGAGGTCTGCTGGAGGTGGGGAAGGGAGCCTCCTGGGTGAGTTAGGCAGGGCACTCCCAGTATTGGGCAGGAAGTGCAAATGGGAGGAGGGCAGAGGTAGCTGGGCCACTACTAGGGGCTCAGGAAGGATTTGGGCTTCCGATTGAGCTGGGAAACTGCTCAAAAGTGACTGATCTGACTTCCAGCAGATTGGGACTGCGCTGGCTAGACCTTGAGAAGGTACCAGATCTGGGCTATGAGGAAGGTGGAACCAATAGGGTTCGCTGATGGCCCAGATGTGGGCTGTTAGAAAAGAGGGGAGTCCAGCGTAACATTCACATCTTGGCATGGAGGAACCAGGAGGGTGGAGTTGTGCTCACTGTAGAGGGGCTAGATCAGGGTGGGGAGGGGGGTCAGGAGCAGCAGGGACTGTCACCCTAGCCTAGATGGCAACTTGGGCACCTGGCCTGGCACCTTGGGCACCTTCTCACCCTAACAGAGAAAGCTGCAATTCTCCCTGTGGATTCTGAGAATCACTGAGTTAGGGTCACCGGAAATGTCAGTTCAAATGCAAACTCTGAGACCCACTAATTCCAGTTCTCTAGGTGGATCTCGAGAATCTGCACTTTAGCTCCCCTTCCCCCACCGGGATCTACGGCTGAGATGTAGATACCCAGGATATTCATGCTGCTCCTTCGTGTAGTAATGAGTTGAAGCTGACTAATGAACAGCTCTTGGGCTGGGCTACTGTCCTGGGCTGCTCCTTCGTTCATTCACAGCCATTGACCTGAAAAGCAGAGCTCAGTGCTGATGGCCCGGTTGTGCTTTGATCCTCAAGAATGTGCCATGAAGATGCTTTAGCAGAGGTATGCAGAAGGACAGCAGTGGGTCCCTAACTGATGAAAGGGGAGAACTGGAACTCAACATATGACCCTACACGTGCCTATCTAGCCAGAGCAAGAGGAGCCAGCCTTCTGGCCAACGTGACTTCTCAGCTTTCTGTGGGCATTTTCCTTAGACTCACAGATGCTGGAGGAATCAAGATCTGGATCTCTGAAGATGAGATACGCATACCCAAACACAAAGCACTGCTTTTTCTTTTCAGCAGTCACCCGTCTGTTTGAATGTATGTCCACACCTTCTTCCTATTATGATAAGGAGGTAGTGTCTCCTGAAGCTCACAGAAATTAACTGGGCTTCTGAGTCTAAATCTCAGCTCTTTCCACTACACCAGCAATACTCAGGATCAGGGAACATCATGCCTGCGAGGGCCCTGGCTTTCATGCACCAATTCTGGTCTGGAAGGTAGAGGAGGAAGAGGAAAACAGTGTTTCCAACCAGAGGCCAGTCAGTTAGGTGGCCGCTAATCATGTACACCTCCGAAACATGATTTTTGCTCTGTGACCTCCTCTCCTGACCACACAGCCCAGGGAACTCTATCACGGGACTCAAAATGACCCAGCAATCAAGTCAGCTGGCACCTCGGTGCCCACTGGGAGGGCAGAGGCTGCTGGGCATGAGCTCAATTTGTCACAGGTCCCTCTGCTGACGTCTGACAGCTGCTAAAGGAATCTTAACAGGAGGGTTTGGTTTTTTTTAATCTCACTTCTTTTTTCCATTTAATGAGTTTTTAAAGATACACTTTCCTCGTGTCCTTTAATAGAAAGAGAAATAAGAGAAAAGCAAAGACACTGCCAAATACTTGCAACTTATCCTAATTGGGAGTTTTTAACAAAAATAGAAAAGTCTCCATTGCATGTACCCTGACCCATCCTGCCACCCTCATTTTTCCAGAAACACTTCTACACTTGCTCTAGTCCTCGGCCTGCCTGCTACCACGGAGCAGCCACACGAACCATGCAGGGTCCATGGTGTGGCCCAAGCTCCCCATTGCAGGGGGACAGAGGTCTCGGTGTTCAGGCTGCCCCGTGGCAGCTGGAGAGACTTTTACTTCTGACAACTTTTGTGACTACTTCAAGACAAAGAACCAGCATTTTCACTGCAGGGCAGATTTTTTTTTCTGCCAACCAGAAAAGTGTTCCTACCAATCAGAAGGTGGACTACCTAGAAAGCCACAGCCCACTGCATCATCCAGGGCATAGCATGCTTTTCCCTCCAGTTTCCATAGTGGTTTACTTTTAATATGTGAGATGTGATTTAAGACATACAGTAAATGCGTACTTTATTTAACTATTACAATAAAAGACGTAGTTTCATTGATTCCTCTCAGATATACTCTCTCATCTTGAACAGACTTATCCCATCATTCTTGCCACTGTCTAAAGCATTTCTGGAAGTCCTCTTTCATGAATGTCTTCAGTTGTGCCATTGTAGCTACTTTCATGTCCTGAATCAGCTCAAAATATTTCCCTTTCCTGATCATTTTGACTTTAGGGAAAAACCATAAGTCACAAGATGCCAGATCCAAGGACCAAGTGAGGACACGCCATGATGCTTTTTTAAATCTGAACTTTCTGTTGGAGGCACCCAGCAGCACTCACTGTACTTTTGATTGTACCCTATGGAGGTCCTCTCTTACAAAGACCTCCAGAAAGTACCAAGAATGGTGGAATAAACGTGTTGGAATCGAGGAACAGTATTCTGACGGGAATTACTGATGATGTGTCTTTTACTGTAATAAAATTTTCAAATTTAAATGTTCACTGTGAATTTTGATTGCACCCCACATAGGTGGTACCCGGTGATGCTGGGGGTAAACAGCGATCAGGCCCAGGGGTGGCCGTCTACAGCCTCTGTCATACACTCTCAGACTCTCTCTCCACTTCTGGAAAAGGAAGAAGACCTTTTCAAAAACACTTCCCATGCTGTGTCTACATGGGGATGGGGCTTCCATCTGCATTGTCAGTAATCTAGGGGTGTCCCCAGGCTGGACCCCCTGCCTGGAGGACAGCCCTGGACACAGAGCCTGCTGGAACTCGCCCTGGGGTAAAGAGCACCTTCCTGTAGCCCCTATCAAGGCCAGGTGCCCCCTCTCTTCCTCATCCTTCATGCAGACCCAGATTCAATTCAGCTTCGCAGTAGCCGCACCTCAGTAGGCTACGAGCATCTGAGACCCAGGTAAGCCAACTGCATTGTCTACCACTCACAGTGCAACCACTCCCTGCCCAGCCTGCTCAGGCCTTGCAGGCAGCTCCTCCGGTGCCCACCCGCTCTCTTTCTCCTCCTCTCCCCTCCCCATGCCCCCCTCCCATTCTTTTACTCTCATCGCTCCTCTGTCCAGAGTATTTTCACATGGTCCCCATTTCTTCCCTCAGTGTAGTTCTGACTCCAAGCCCTCACCAAAGCCCTCCTCCCTCTCCCAGGCCTCTCTGCCTACAGCAACAAAGCCAGTGCTGCCCCTCAGGCCTCCCCAGGGCACCTTACAGCTGTCCCTCATTCTTCCCTGGCTTTGCTGTAGCCTGCTCTGTCTCTTACGAGGCAAGTGGCTTCCACCCACTGCATTGCTGGCTCTGAGCTCTATGAACAGAGAACAAAGCAAGTCATATACTTGGGGCCAGAACCCGGGAGCAACTGGGACATTCTTGCCTGGTATAGACATAACCACAAAAGAATCTAGATTTCTGAACACTAAAGAGCTGAATACCAAGTCGAAGAGATAGAATCTAGCTCAAGTCCCAAACCTGGACACTTTCTGCTCCACCAGTAGGAATGGCCAGGCACGGGCCACATGGCTGGTCTCAGTGGGCAGCACTCTGTAGTCTCTACCATGTATGCCCACCCGCTTCCCAGGGAGCCCACATTCACCCCATGCACCTGTAGGGCCCCATACACAATTCACTGGCAAAAGAAAAGGTGTCTATACCGGTTGCATATTCCTGTACTTCATACATTGTCCTAAATCTCTTTTTTAAAAATCTGGGGTTTTTTACATCCAAGACTTTAAAACTTGTAATTAGCTTTTCCCCCAAGTGTCTCCGTGCATTACTCCTGTTTTGCACATGCATCTGGCCATTTCCAAGATGCCAGCAGACTACATTCACATCTCGTGGTTGACAAGTGTCATAGTCCACGTGCCACAAGGGTTAAGGCTTCCCTTTCGGTTCCCAGTGTTGCTTGCAGTTACTACTCCATAACTTCTGAGACCCCGACCTCTCACATCTCAGCACCGTGTAGACGGCCTCTTCTTAACCTGCACACATGACTTCGTGGGTCTGCTTTTTAATACTCCCAAGATTTCCCAGGACAGGAAATCACAATCCACAAATGAAAAGCCATTGAGCAATGCATCTTTATCTCCAAATCCCTGGGTGGAAATTTTTACTTGACTTTAGAATCTTTTTAGCGAGAGAGAACACAGGGTGGAAATTCTGGAGATTGTTAGAGAATGGAAAGGTTCTCAAGCCTTCCTCTAAAACTTTACAGCATCTTCAACTTTACAGCAATGTGGCTCCTCAGACTCCAGTTAAGACAAAGTTCTTGAATAAGCTCATGCTTCTTTCTCTTACCCAATCTCCATCCATGCCCGCCGTTTTACATCTTCTACATAACTGTCACCAGTTTTTCAGACCCCACTGCGCTGCAAACACCAAGAACTTCACACACATTATCTCATTTAATCCTCCCAACAAACATGTGAGACATCAGAGGCTTGGAGTTACATGAGTTCCCTCAAGGCAGCCAAGATGAAGACTTAAATAGGAGGCTTAATGTTTTCCCTCCAGCCATTACAAACTATCCGCCCACACATACGTTATTTTCTCCCCTGAAATAAGTACCTCTCTAAGCAAAATCCTGCAGCCTGGAGCTGCAGAGAAACCCAGGAGGCCCTCTCTGCTAGGGCAGCATAGTTTTGTCACAAAGCAGATGAAAAACAGAAAAGCCCAGAAGACAGCAGAGGTTCAGAAGCCGCATTAGCCTCCAGCCTCTTCCTCCTGGTAGAGGTCTGACAGCTGTCCCTAAGCGTGAAAAGCACTGGGGGTCAGCTTCCCACTAGCGTCTTACATCTCAGGCCAGGAGAGAGAGCTGACCCAGGAGGCTGCCCTTGGAAGAAAAGCCCGGGCAGGGGTCTGGGTTGAGCTGACCGAGCCCTGCCTCTCCTCCTCGTCCCCTCCCTGGCTTCCCGTGCTCCAGCTGTGCAGTGAGTCACAAGAGCAGAGCAAGGCTCCGGGGAGGAGGACGCCACAGCTGCATGGCCTTGTACCAGGACGGACAACAAGCACAGGTGGGCGTCACTTCTCTCCCCAAGGGCTCCCAGCGCCCATGCATGGCGCAGAATCTCCCACCGAGGGGAGCTCATGGCTGACCCATCAGCGGGTACAAAGGTGGCCTGCTCCTCTGTGCTGCACAGCGAAGCACCAGGCCTCGGAACACTTCACCTCTGCTGCGCCTCCAAACTGAAATTCTTCTTTACACTGGAGAGTGGAGCTGGCCAAGCAGCCCAGCTCTTCCCTGCTCACTTCCTGAGGCCTATTTTTCCTTTATAATGCCTTATTAATGGTCAAGAGACTCCAACCAGAATCCGCCAGCCAGGATTCATTCGGCAAAGGAAATTTATCTCCTGAAACACAGGGAGTGAAAATAATTTCCAACCTTCTTGCTAAACTGTTCACCCTTGAGAGGAAAATCACAACTCAACACAAAACCAACTTTTCATTTTCTTTTTCTGTAGTACTGGGATTGAACCCAGGGCCTTTGCACTGAGCTACATATTTCCCTACTGTTTTTTGGATTTTGAGACAGGGTCTTGCTAAGTTGATAACGTGCCCAGGCTGAGCTCAAATCTGTGATCCTCCTATCTCAGCCTCCCAGAGTGCTGGGATCACAAGTGTGCACTACCACACCCAGCCAAAACTAACATTTTAAAAATGAAACGTTGCCACCAGTGTTTCTGACACACTTACCCTCCGTGTTGGAACTGATCTCATCTTCCACTCCGACCACCGGCCTCTCTCCACCCACCAGCGGAGTATGGCCTGGCCCTGCGTAATTAGGAAGCTCCCCTTCCTGGGGGTGGGCTGCAGGATGCTCGGGTCCTGAAGGCTCGGGCCTTGCCTCGGAGTAGGGCTGGACGCTGCTTCTGTCTCCAGGCTGGGGTGCTGGGCCCTCCTGGGAAGGAGCCAGGGATTCTCTGTGGACCTCTGAGAGAGCTGGGCCTTGGGTCCCTTCCTGATCCAAAGGCTGCACGTGGCCTTTTATACCCGAGGTCTCCTCGCCTCCCAGAGGTGCTGTCTGTTTGCCCCAAGGGTCCGAGTTGGCAGATTCTGTTTCAGGGTGGGATGGCCAGACAGCAGGTGCTGGGTGGGGCACAGAGGAGGCCAGGTCAGGGTGTGGGGGAGAAAGCCCCCCTCCCAGGGGGCCCATGTCGCCTCTGGACTCGAAAGACACATCCACTCTGCTGTGATTGTCCGCCGTCTCCCCTGGTTCACTTGGGGGGTATTCAACCTCCTCTTCATTCTCGTCATAATAATCCAGATTGCCCTCTGTGTAGTCACCTTCCAGGGCCGCAGTGTGGCTGGTGGGGTGCTCCCTGGGTGTCCCAGGGCGGGCTGCAGAGAGCTCTCCTCCCACTGTGGCGGGCTGGAAGTTGTCCAGCGGGGAGCTGCTCCCAATATGAAAGGCCCACACTCCGGGGATCCCCATATTGCTTAGTCTAAATAGAAAGGAAACAGTTAATCTTAACAAAAATATCCGCTCACCTTCTTCCGGCAAAGTGAGCACTTTAGCTTCAAACCAAAAGACTGTTAATGTTAAGATCAGATCAAGGGGTTTCCTGGGGTATAAAACACCATCAGAGCAGGCTTCATGGTAACTGAAAGGGTTATACTGGAATTTTTATGTAAAATATCTCTTATTGCATGTTACCTTTAGAATGCCGTGCCATCAAGTTATAAAAGCCAAATGTTTGGCCTAAAAATCTATTTGAAAACAAACAGGGAGTACGAAAATATTTCATATCGCCCTCCCCGATTGTCTGAAAATCTGTAACACGCTCAAGAACATTTCTGCTTCCAGTATACTGCCAGACACATAAAGGGTCATGTGCGCTGCACATTGTGGTCCTGTGCCAGCCTCCGTACCAAGGGTGTGACATTCCCCACTCTACCAGGTAGGGACGGTGGTCACACCTAAGTTTACTGAAGGGAAAGTGGGTTTAGAGAGAGTTACTGTTCTTGAGATCACATAACTCATAGGTGGTAGAGCCTGAATTCAATTCAGTTGCTAGCACCAAAGCCCTGTTCTAAATAGCTACCCTGCTGTACATTACATCAGAAAGCCAAATACTACCACCGGCAGCCGAACCGCCCCTGTTCTACAGAGGGTTAAACACACGGCCTGTTCACAGGGGCTGGACTATAAATCAATGCACAGGAAATGGAGAAGCAATGTAAATACACTGCAGAAATATATATAAATGTCTGAAAAACTTGAGGAAATGTAGAACAAAGTGAAGGGGGAAATAAGAACATAGCTTAGTCGAAAGGAAAGGAGTCATGGGTAGAAGTCTTTCCAGAAATATCTGGAAACACATTATTCATTTTCTCCACTAGAGAACAAGGACTCCAGTCAGTCTTGCAAATATCCCCATGATCCATTATTTTAGACGGTGATGTATTCTTTGGTTTCTTAAGAATATATCATTAACTCTAAAATAACGGATCATTAGATATATATGTGTGTATGTATATATATATATATGTATGTTGTATATATGTGTGTGTATGTTGTATATATATATGTGTGTGTATATATAGGTTGTATATATATATTTTAAAATCATGTAGAGATATATGATTTTAAAAAATAAGAGACAATTGAGCTGAGAAGGGCTTGACTAGTTTGGAGATACTTCTGGTGTTTGCACAAAATACTATGCTCGAATTCTCCCACACTTTGGAATTTCCTGAGAAGTCAGCACTGAAGAATAAGAATGACTAATAAGATAATTTAAAAATTCACTGAGTTCTATGAGAACAAGAGGTCTTTGATCTTTTGGGTAGATATTCATCTGGATGTCTTCTACAGCAATAGGATTTCTCAATTCAGTCTGAAATTGGCTTTCCCTCCACCAACCCTAGGGTGTGTGTGTGTGTGTATGCGTGTGTGTGCACACATGTGCTATTGCTGCTTGTATAGTTCATTTAGGGAAAAAGGAGCATTTCTCCTATCATAGCAGAATAATGAGGTCAAAAGGGATTTTTTTTAGTGTAATTCATGTTTAATGTAAAGTACAAAAAAGTAACAAAAAAGCAACTGTTACCCCTTGTACACAATATTGTGTGTGCCTAAGAATGTATGTGCACAATAATTAATGTTGGTGGGGCTGGGGATATAGCTCAGCTGCATAAGCACCTGCCCGGCAAGTGCAAGGTCGTGAGTTCAATTCCTGGTACTCTCCCCCACAAAAAGAATCAGTGTTGGTGATTCTTGGCAAGCAAACAAGAAAAACTAAAGATATAAGAATGGAGGTCTGAGAATACTTAGTTTATTATCATATTAGAGGTGTTGCAGCTGTGAAGTTTCTTCTTGAACTTGGAAAACTAGAAAAAGCTTCAAAGAGTAGAAATATACAAATAATGTCATATAAAAACACAATCAAAGGGGCTGAGGATTTAGCTCAGCGGCATAAGCACCTGCCTTGCCAGTGTGTGGTTGTGAGTTCAATCCCCGGTACCGATAAAAAAAAGAAAAAGGAAAAAAAAACTCAATCAAATAACCTTCCAAAGAAATGTAAATCACTAGCATGGCTTTTGTCACTGTCTAAGATGGGAAGGTAACCGATTTGAGTTCACTGTAAAATCTCTAAGGTCATTTGGAAATCACAGTGATAGGAAGAATCTAATTTATTTCCTAGAAAGAGAAACTGAGCTAATAAAATGTGAAGACAATCCTTCCTCCTCAGTTCATTAGGAAAGCTGAGAAAACCAGAAAAATGGTTCGCTTCAGCTCAGCACACAATACCTACCTAGTTACTACTGTCTCTCTTCCAGGGGATAGAAAAGCATTTTTTCTCAAAAAAATGCAATGTATGGATTCATATTTAAATGTGCAGAAGAAAGTATGACAAACATTATGAATTATGTAATTTGCAACCCCTGATTTTACATGAGACAAGTTTAAGGAAAAGAAAGATTCCACTGAGTGGAAAAATAAGTTCACTCTTTAGAGCTACATTCCAAAGTGTTTGGGAGTGAACCTAGAACGGCTTGCATTAATTCAACAGCACGGTGAACATTCATCACTAAGTTGTCATTAGAATACACTACATATTCCATGCAAGTCTTGTAGCCTTACAAAGACAATGTGGACAGATCTTGCTGAAAGATGCCTATAAAATAGTGATAAATGAGAAGACATACAAGACCCACTGATTTTTAAAAGGTTTTTGCACATACCTGAAATGTTGGAAGGACCGTTAATACGGATCACACTTGAAATAGTAATCAGGGGTAATTTTTACTTTTACTGAACATTGCTCTTTGTTGTCTCTCTGTTTCATCATTTTATGTGAAACGTGAATTTCACTTTTAAAAATACCTCTGTGTCCTTCATTTTGACTCTGTATCATACTCTCAAGCAATTTATCCTTGAGCAATTCAGAGATTTTTGAGAGGCATCAAATATAAAAGTGAGAGAGAGGCTTGGAGAGGACAAATGAAAGTGCTGTGTGCAGGGCCAGGGATTTAGCTCAGTGGTTCAGGTGATTGCTTGCTAAGTGCAAGGTCATGAGTTCAATCCCCAGTACCAAAAAAAAAAAAAAAAAAAAAAAGCAAGGGTTGTGTGTCTGTGTGTTGCATGCCTATGTGAGCATCAGATCACAGTAGCTTTCAGACCTCTGGTGGACGAACAAAACTACTTTTCCTACGGTCTCTTTGGCTTCCACTGCCTCCTGTGACCTTGGTAGATGTCAACGCTTATTCTCGGCCTTTGTGGTCCTTGAGCTGCTGGTCTGTCTATTACAGAGCCTGGGCCTTCAAACTCTGCGCATTTCAAGTGCTTGGCTGGCTCTCCCTAACACCTGAAGAGTACAGAATCAGCGAGCTCCCAAATAGCACAGGACAGTAGATGACAGGAGAGAGATGGCAGAGAGCATGGAGCTAAGTTTGCTCCGGAATCTAGATTCAAGGGCAGCCTGGACGGAGGCCTGCAGATGCCTGAGGAAAAGAGAAGGAATCAGCAGAAAAGACCATAAGGGGTCAGCTCTCCAAACCTGTGCTTTGATTGTGGCTTGGCCATTCTGAGCTCACAGGCAACTTACTCAAATTCCTAAGCTTATCTGGAAAGTTGAGAAAGTAGTAGTACTTGCCTCCTTTGATTCTTGTGAATTTTAATTAAGATACCATCTGGAAGTGTTTAGCAAAATGCTTACCCACTAAAAGCCCTCAATCAATGTCAGCTCTGAGTAACCAGCTGTCGCTGCCTGCCCTCTCTCTGGTGGCTGAGCAGAGCAGAGTGTGGGTAGCAGTGTGAGTTGTTCCTATCCTGGAATGATCTCAGGAGCTGAGAAGCAGCTAGTGAAGCCAGAAAGTAACTCAGGACAAGGATTCAGGAAAGAAACAAAAGGAAAGATCACTGTGGTTAATAAATATCATTGTGGCTCAAACGGGGCTGCCCAATGCAGTAAGCAGATGATAGATACCACATTGGGTCTAAGGACCAGGTCCAGCTCCGGACAATGCCTGGAAAACCATCAGCATGACTTGAGGTCATGAAGGGATAAAGAAATCCTGAGACTTCTAAACATCTATCAACCTGTATATTTACTTTTCTCAGTAAGATTACTCTTAATTTAATTTTTAACAGTATCCATCCAAAAACAAAATCACAGTGTCTCCTCCTATGAAATGATTAACCTGAAAATCTTCCACCTATGCAGATATATGGCTGGATATTTTTATGTGGTTCCAAAAGCAATGTTTTTCATAGCAAGCCTCAGTGACTCTGCAAACACACCCACACATCCCTACAGAATCTCAATCTCTCTCTCTCTCTCTCTCTCTCTCTCTCTCTCTCTCTCTCTCTCTCTCTCAATAGGGCAGGAAAACTAACAAGGGAAGCTGTTCCTCCAAGGGTTCAGTCTAGTTCCTGGTTTTAATCGGATGCCTTCCTTAGCTATTATCTAAGGTCAGGTGCCCACAAAAGGTCATCACATTCAAATGGCAACGGGCTCTTTACTTACTGGTAGAGGTTTTTCACAGACTGCTCAGTGCTGGTCAGGCTGAAATACGGTCCTTCTCTCTTCATGTCCTCGGCCTCCCCTCGGCAGAAGCCCACCCGCGCTGGAAGCTGCAGCTGGACGTTGTAAGACTCTTTGGGGCGAGTGCCAAAGAACTGCAGCCCATTGGCAGGGTAAAGAAACAGGGCGAAGGTATCTGACCTATCGTAGGCCAAAACCACCTGGAAAGTGTTCAGCTGTGAAAAAGGAATTGGAAACATCTTTTACACAAACAAACAAACAGAAGCAGAAAGCAATGCAAATGAAGCATCAAAGTACAAGGAATTTTCACCCTTCTCAGAATTCGCCCCACAGGTTTTATGCTCGTGTTAGGATATGTTTGCCGCGCATAGCAATTATGCATAGCAATTATCAATGCATAGCAATTAGCCTCGTGGGCCGGTCCATAGACGGCATCTCCATCACTGTTACTTCTCGCTCCCTCCTCCCCTCTTCAGCTGCCATCACATCTCCACAATCTCCCTATTTCCAACCATTTTTTCTTTTATTTTGCTCTTTATTTATATTGGGGATTTCTAGTATCGGAGAAACCAAGTACTATTTAATCTTCTACATTTGATCAACTTTATTTAATATCATGGTGTTAATCCATTTTCTCACAAGTAGTTCAAATTGATCCTTCTTTAGGACTGAGTAGTACTTCATTCCCAAGTTGATTTTAAACACAGGACTTCCTCTTCAATTCCAAATACAAGTTTATAATTGATATTATTTATGACAAGCATCACCCATCAATTTAGTTGAAATATGTGTAGGTAAAATATAGGTTTAAATTTTTTTTAAAATTAACATCTCAAACTTCTCTCATCTAAACCCCTTCTCGCGCTAAGTGAATGTAGCAGAATTAACTTGTCCATTCCTGCAGGTGCTGCCCGAGTGTACAACTCTGGGCGCTCACCCTCTCCCTTCTGTATGACTCGTCTGTCTGTGTATTAAATGCCCGTGATGGTTGGGCACTGTGTCAGGCACCTGCTGACCCAAAGACCTCTATGCTGCTCTTACAGCCTCACCTACTGGTTCATTCCAGCTCCAGAGCAATCATCACGTTGCAAAGGAGAGAAAAGATGCGGGGGCTAGTGGGTGTGCCCAGGATCAAGCAGCAAGCAGATGATGGCAGTGATGGCAGCCGACAGCCACCAGAGCCCCTGCCCTACACCCGGGCCAGCCCAAGCCTCCCTGCGCGACATCCACGGGGATTTGCCTGGCCCCCATCTCTCCTCCCACTTCCAAATGCCACCCCCTGTAGGTGTCCTGTGAGACACCGCAGAATTCCTTGCTCCCTGACCCTCTGTAGTACCCTAAGCGTTTCCAGAGCCTTTCACCCTGGATAGTGTCTATGGGACTGTAAATCCCACTCATCTGTCCACTGATGCCCTAAACAGCCAGCTGCCCGCCGAGCTGGATACCTTGTGCTTGGTGCTAAAACACAAGAGGAACAAAGGTCAGTGCAGTTGTACCCAGGAGAGTTCTCCATGTAGAGGAGGAAAGCAGGAGCTGCAGGGGACCGACTGGCGACAGTGTAGAGGCCATGGGTGACAGTATGTGCCCAAGACCTCAGAGTGGAGGTCGGCAGGCATCGCAGTGCCACCTGGGAATGTGGATAAACCTGGCAGGAGCCAAAGCAGACCAGAGAGAGAGACCACAGACAGAGAGGGCCAGGAGTCTGAGGTAGCCACAGCTTCACACCCAAATGACAGCAGAATCGCCTTGTTTTGGAATTGGTTTCTCTATGCAGTTCGGGCTGGCCTTGAACTTACCTTGGTAGCCCAGGCTGGCCTCAAAGTTGCAGGGGTCCTCCCGCTTCCGCCTCCCAAATTCTGAGATTACAGGGGTGCACCACCATGCCTAACTCAGAATCACTTTTTTATGTCTAATTTGCTCTCATATTTTCAATAAGACACTTGATCTTCACCTTCATCCAGCTGTTACTGCTGCCCATCTTTCTAAAGACCTTGAATACCAGGGGCTGGGGATTTAGCTCAGTGGCATAAGTGCCTGCCTTGCAAGCACGTGGTCATGAGTTTGATCCCCGGTACTGATAAAAAAAAAAAAGAAAAGAAAAGAAAAGAAACACTTCAAAAAAAAAAAAAAAAAACACAAAAGACCTTGATTACCTAAAGTGCTTGATTATATTTAACAGATGTTTACTTAGGACTCTAGACTATCTCTTTCACTAGATCACACTCCACTGGAGGGCATTTTAAAATTCTTATTTATTTCATAAATAACGATTCTTAGGACCAGGGATATAGCTCAGTGGTGTGAGTGCATGCCTGGCAAGTGCAAGGTCCTGAGTTTGATTCTCTGTACAAAAAAATGACCCTTAGAAATTTTCATTTACTGGTGAGTATCATTAGCTCCTTACATTACCAGGAGGTCAAAATTAGGCTCAGAAAACAACAGTACCCTGAACTAAATAAAATAGTCCTGGATCCTTTCCCACACTGATCTCTTTCCTAATGTTATTTGTTTTTCTTTCAGTGTTTTTCTTTCACGGTAAAGTATAGTTTTGAGGTCTGCAGATACAGCAAAGAAATGTAGGTGTTATCTTTTTTGAGAAAAAAGCAAATGTTATGCTAAGATCTCTGACAGTAAAAAAAGTCACTTTGCTTTGCTTTTTTTTGGCCTTTTTCTTTTTTAATTTTCTATTTTGAAAAGAATAAAACCAAACAATATAAAACAGAATACAGTCAATCAAAACAAAGCAATGAATGTGATACAGGTCTTCAAAACAGGATAATAGGAAATCAATGGCTACTATAATGGCCTCTTGTTATCTTCAACATAGCTAGCTATCTGTATCTTCAGACATAATAAAATCAAGCCAAACAAAACAGTATAAAGTCAATCAATCAAAACAAAACAATGAAAGCAATGCAGGGCATTTCTTTCTTTCATTCACTCAGTTTACAAACTAATAGACAGGGGGTCTGGTGTAGTTGTTATTGCTGAGTTTGTCTCCCTAGCAAAACTTGTGTTTTTCAAAACCCAAGGCAAGAAATGTTTTCTAGAACCTCACAGCTAGGAAGCCTTAACTTCTGCCAAATGTGAGCAAAGGTGGTTTCCCGTCATGCCTACACATAATTCACCCTTCACCATCCATCACTGTGGATTCAAACATTTTGGAGTTTTATGTAGATCAGAATAAAAAAAAGTTCGACTAGGGGAAAGAAAAGTCAGCAGGGAAAGAGAAAGAGTCCCCTGTTAGGAGATGTGCTGCCCATGTGAGCCCAAGAATACCATTTTAAACAGCCAAGCATTAAAGTTGCTGACATGAATCACCAGCAATCAAAAGAAGATAGGGGAAATCCTGGTTCTAAGTCTGGAGAAATTCTGTAAGATAAGGCGGCTGTATAGATTGTGAGGAATTGCAGGGGATGGGGAGGAAGGGTGGGCCGGAGTAAACAGACCTGTGAAAGGGAGAGTCTGGCTTTTCACTGTGGAATCTGAGTGTTTAACACTTTTTTCATTTTTTCCATGAGTCAGCCAATATGCATTTCAATTACAGTGTGTTCAATGTATTTTCAGTACCACCCTTGAGAGAAGTACTCCTTACAGGTAGTAAGAGTTTAATTTCCCTATTTCCACTGAAGCAGGCAAACATCAGAAGAAAACAACTTCCTTTTAAATAGAATTTATGATCCTAAGTGACACTCTCAAATAGAGTCTGGCAGTTGAAAAACCACCACACTCTAAGGTTCTCAGTCAGTTCTACAAAATTCCACATCGAATTGCTGAAGGGCCCACTTCATGCAGCCTAAAGGGCTCCTCCTCCTGACTCCTTGACCGGCTTCCAAACCGGAAAGGTCCCGGCATTCCTGGATATAACCCTTTGCAAGAACCCACACACACTCAGGCTCTGAAGGGAAACCCTCAGATGGGCTGCCAAGCTCTACACCGGGGTCACTGGTTCCCAGAGTCCCCAGGGTCTGAGAGGACCAAGGGGGCTGGGAGGAGGAGAGGAAGCGGCACAGAGCGGCTCAGGCCAGTCGCTGCTGAGCTTCAAGGTTTCTGCCATCTGTTATCAAAGAGAGAAAGGCCAGAAGCCCCAGCAGAGAGCAAGTCTGCCTCTCCCATGTGGGATACAGGGCATCACCCCTCAGCGCTGATGTGACACTGGACAGAGCTGGACTGACAGATACAAAATGTATCCCTCCAGGAGTTTCTAATTTTGCAATTTGTTAAATAATAACAGCCATCTGGCCAAAAAAAAAAAAAATCAGAATACTGTCATCCCTATTTGCCTGAGGTTTATGAAATCAAAAACAGAAATCAAGAAGTGGAGCACTACAGACGTCCATGAGAGAAGTTAAAGAAACATGAAATCTACAAGTGTTCCCTAGAGAAGAGTCCTCCAGGGATCACTAAGTTCTCCTTCCGGTGTTCCTTAGGGCTTTGGGCTTTCTAGAAGCATCAACTCCAACTCCTGTTTTCACTTCTTTCTTGTCATCCTCCATCTCCCACCACCTGCAGGACACCATCACAGACATCCTGACCTCCACTGTGTCTTACAGAATCTGCCAAAAATTCAAAGGCAGTGCTCAGCATTATCACATCCCTAATATTCCATCCTTCTTGACACAGTCTTCAGCAAAATTTCATATCTGTCTGTAGCCTCTGTGTCTCTACGGCTGTATCTCAGACTCAGGTTCAACACTCAGACCCCAGATCCAGAAGTCAACAAGCTATGACAAAGGTCAACTTTCTTAATCAGTGACTATCATGCTTGAGAACAGAACAGGTCAGAATCCCCCAGGCCGCGCATAGAGGCCGCCCGTCATTGATCAACCTTTGCTCACTTCTTACATCGGTGCCTCGCGACCTCTTACGTCACTGTCCTGTGATCCCTTCATCCACAGCTCCATCCCCAGCCCTCCTGGCCTCCTCCAGGGCAAGCTGTAGCTCATAACAACCTCTCTACTACCTCATTCTCAATATCCATCCTTTCAGCCCTTTACAACCCAACTTAAATTCCTAGCCAACAAAAACATTCCACACACTACACAGATCTGTGTAACCCCAGTTCTCTGTAACCTCCATCCTTAAACGACACTACCATCACATTACCCCTCCCCTGAAAACAAACAAAAACACACACGAAACAACAAAAACCCACAGCTAAAGTACACACTGGTCTTCGTGTCTCCCATGAATAAGTCCTTTGAAGGTCAACACCAGAACTCTTCTGTCTCAGGAATTGCCTCTGTTAGCTCAAGAAGTCTCAGATTAATTGAGTTGATAAGCACTGTTTGTGCACATTTTTTTCCAGTGCAATTACACCTTGGAATTCCTGCAGTGTTAGGCACAGTGTCCTGTCACAGCCAGTGTGACTTTCCATAGAGAGAAAGGGCACCAACTGAAACTGTTTTAAATGGTAAAGATGCCATTCCTCTGATAGCTCCAAGTTTCCAGTCACTTTGTAATGTAAGGTTTGTGCGCCAAGATTTAAGAAAGCCATGTAAAACTCACACACTCCTTCAAGCAAAACAGATTATGTTTGCCAAAATCTATCCCCCAAAAAACTATTAAAGCAAGAACTCGAGTCCCAAGACTCTGTAAAGTATTTAGAGGAACTTTCAACGTGAGTAATTAAAAAAACACCCTCTGTCCAAACAGAACCCTCAACTTTTTTCTAAGTGAAAACATTCTAAAGCCAATTCAGCATGCAGCAATACTGCAGAATGCTTTTGATTAGAAAAGTGAAATAAAGATGGAATCTACAAATCTTTCGCCACCTTTGCTCCCCTCCAAAAAAAAAAGACAGAAAAAAGAATCTTTACACAAAAGACTTCAGTCACCACACCCTTTCAAGACAGTAAATCAAAAGAACTAGAGTCTGGTTTTATCAAGCCACAGTGGGGAACAAAGACTGGCTGAACATTTGCACATACTGAGGGACTAGAATGGTACTCAAAGATGTCACCCCAGTAATCCTGTAAGGGTAGGTGTTGCTACCTCATTTTATAGGTTAGGAAACTAAGACCAAGGCTGAGTCACTACTTCCAAAATCACTCCTTGCAAACGCATTTTTCCCCCAAAATGTTTGCATCTTGTCACTGATTTCACAATTACCCTGAAAGTTTGGCAAGAGAAGCATTTTATCTCCAGGAGGTAGATGAAATGGAGTTAAGTAATTAACGAAACCACCTCACCTGCTTTGTAATTTTTATTTCAAATACGCTCTCATAAAGTTGGGATCTAAACACTGGAACAGGGTTTCATGACCCCAATTCATCTCACTCAACTTTGTCATTCTTTTCTGTCTTAAAAGTAAGACACACACAGCTGAACTCTCTTCAGAGCACTGGAAGTGATGTTGGCATCAAAAGCAGATTTCACTCCAAGTGCAGGCTTCTTTGAATGAAAATTGTTCCAAGGACTCCTCTGGTACCAAAGTCCCATCAAGACAATAAAATTCAAACCTTATTTGTTGTCGTCTTTGGGAAAGGCTTAGCTATTGTTGTTTCTAAGTGGGGCTGGCACACACACAGACACACACACGCAAACCCTGAAAATCAAGAAGTTTGTTTTTTAAACTGCTTTTTCCTCCCTAAAAGCAGAAGTTGGATAATCAATTTGTTTTCTACTTGCCATTATCTATGAAATGCAAACAGTGATTCTTGTATTTATCTGGTAGGATGGGGATGGGATGATAGTACGATAAAATATTGATGCAAGAATTTAACAAGATAGCTTGAATAAACAACCTTTAATAATTATCTAAATAGGCATTCTGTTCTTTATCTCCTTTCTTCCTCAATAAAGTAAAAAAGAAATCTCTTTAAAACCAAACAAAATAAAAACAGAAACCCATACTTAAAAAACTGCAAATGCTGTCTACCATTAAGTCAGATATATATATATATATATATATATATATATATATACTTTTGGTACCAGGGATTGAACTCACGACCTTGCGCTTTCCAGGCAGGCACTGGTGCCACTGAGATAAATCCCCAGCCCTGTCCACCATTTAAAACCAAATCAAATTCTCCCAGAACATGACCCACTGGGGCTCCTGGCTTCTCTGGTCTCTCCAGCCCTGTATCTCAGTATCAAAATGCCATCTACAGTGTCCCGACACGGTCTACTTTATAGCATAAAGGTGACACATGCTTTTCATTCCATCGAGAATGTTGTACTCTGCTCAGCACAGACTGAAAGTTAACTTTCTCATGGAAACCTTCCCAGATGTATCTCCAAGCAGGAAAAGTCAGTGCCAGGTTCCTCAAGCCAAGAGATTGCTGAACTTATCCCACTAAAAACTAATGAAAGCCCTCACCAAATAGGACCTCCAGTGAACTCAAAGGAAGTCCTTTCACAGTGTCCATCCCTGTACTGACATGCAGTAAATACAAAAATGTTTGTTGAGTGAATAAACATCAATTATGCTAGAATATAAATTATTTATATGCAAACATAAAAATACATCATATTTCAGATTTTTAAAATGACTACAAGCTGGTCATGGTGGTGCACTCCTGTAATCCCAGCACTTGGGAGACTGAGGCAGGCAGATCGGTGCAAGTTTGAGATCAGCCTGGGGGTACAAAGTGAGCCTAAGGTCAGCCTGAACTGCATAGTGAGACTCTGTCTCAAAAAGACAATAAATTAAAAAAAATTATTACAAGTATATACAATAAAGTATTAGCATTGGTGACTTTCAAGCTAGTGGAATTATAAATCATGTTTATTCTCACATTGTTTTCCATGTTTTCTATTATCAGTATGTGATATTTAATTTTAATAATATTTTTCAAATTTATACACAAAAATGAAGGAATGAACATAATGGTAGGGCCTTTGTCTTTGTGTCCTCTTCAGTCTACTGGGATCAGGATTCAGTACAAAGATGCTCAATAGTTGTCTGAATGGACCTTACATAAATTCAAATTACTTTTATTTCTAGATCATCTTTGCTTAGTACGGACTTTAGGACACAGCACTCTTAGTCTAAGAACACAGAACAAGAAAGGCTACCATTCTGAATTGGGCATAACCATGGGCAAGCTTTGAATACACTGTCCATAGCTAAGAAACACCTGAGTTAAAATAAATAATATGGTTTCAGCACTTGGAGCATCATGTTTTATTTTCGGGTGTGTTTTCATAGAAGGAAGTTTTTGCCTACTCCAGGAATGAGGCAATTTGCCATTTACCAAACTACCTTGGTCCCACCCAATATCTATTTGGAATACTTCCAACATTGCTTCCCAAGACCAAAGACCGGGAACCTGGCTTGTTTTCCTTTCTGCAGACAGAGACGATAAAACACATCTCAGACAGTCTCCTGTAAATGAGAGATCGTATACACTGGAATCTGGAGGGCGAATTGGCAAAAACTATAAAGGATCTTCCAAAAAATACATTCCCTCTGGCCCAATTGCACTTCTGGGGATGGGCAAAGATTTCAGTTTATTAAAAAGTACTTCGTGGTATTATTTATAATAGCAAAAACACGAACACAACGTTAATGGCCCCTGGGAACACTGGTTGAGTAACTTGTGGTAGATAAACTGGAATATCACACAGCTATAAATAATGTCACAGAAACATATTCATTGACTTTGCAACATACATATTCAAGATAAACTAATCAAAACAAGTGAGCTTTAGCACACAGCATTGGCAATGGGAACCCATTACTGCCATCAGACAGCATCAGACAAATATGAGTCAAAAACACTGAAAAATCAACACATAGAAATGTTTAACACTGATAGAGAAATGTGTGGTTGTTCTTTTTCAAATTCCCAGTATTTTCTGATCTTTCTTTTAATGAACGTATATAATCAGAAATATTTGCATACTTACAGGTGAGCCTAAAAATAAACTGCCCTGTGTTCCTGGGGTCTTTGGTAAATGTGCTCTGGACCTCATTTCCCCCAGGAGTCTTCCTTGCTAGAATAACCACCTGTCAGCTTCTCAGAAGATGCCCAGGGACAACGATCTTTGGCACTTTCCTGGGCTTTCGGCTCTGATGTCACCAAAAGTTCAGCGCAAGAGCAGACTCAAGGAACTCCCAGCCAGCCCTGGTCTCCTGTTTGGAGGTGTATCGGGTTCCTGGGTCACTCACCTCCCCCGAGGGTTGAGCTCCGTGCCTAACCTCCTCGTAGGCACCAACTCGCTCCCAGGTGGCCAGGAAGGTGTGGGTGGGGTTGAAGCTGGCTGCAGAGCGCGGGAAGCCAGCGCTCACGTAGTGGCCAGCCAGGCGCAGCACTGCCGGCGAAGTGTCCTCGCGGAACAACACCCGGCCCCTGCCCCTGCTCGTGTCGATGTCTGCCAGAAAGGGGGCGATGGCCGGGAAGTCAGTGGGGAAGTCGTCGTCCACATATTGGGTCTCCCTGGGGAAGTCCTGGGTGGAGATGATGCCGTTGGTGCCCACCTAGGAGGTGAAGGGACAAAAAGGTGACAGTCACTCAATCCCCAGGGCGCGCGGCCACCGCGGCTCCAGCTGGCCCCACAGGGAGGCAGGGGGAGAGGCTTCTCCTTCCTCGTAGGCTGGGAGTCTAGGTGGAGGACGACCAGTACCGCTACAGTGGCGACGGTCCCGTGCCCCGTGATGCAGCGGATCTAGCTGCCCTGGAACTCGGCCACCTTCTCACTCCCCACACCACCCTGGAGCTCCCGGGGACGCAGCGCCCAGCTCTGCAGATGTGCACAGCCTTCTCGTGACCCTAACTTCGAACCCTGCCTTCCTTTCTGCACCGGGCGCGGAGGTGGCTGGAAATGATTCTCACTCCACGGGCAAAGCAATGCTTCCTCCCCACGGGTGCTCCGGCAGCTGCATGGCTGCAGAGCCACGTCCCCTGAGAGGACAGCGGAGCCTGGAAAGTCTTTCCTCAGCTGAAGGAATGCACGGTTTCGGGAAGTCGATCTCTACCCAGAGCCCCATAAAGTAGCTGCGCGCAGCGCGCCAAGCCGCGCGCTCAAAAGCGCTGAACTTACATACAGGCTGTTGAACTGGGCATCCAAGAAGCGCAGAGGGAGTCCCAGCTGCAGGGGTGCGGAGCTTTCGTCATCGCCTTCCGGCAGGAGCAAGTCTCCCCTGGACTCCCCATAGGGAAAGAGCTGGTCTGTGTGCAGCGCTGAGGCCCGCGACAGCAGCAGCAGCAGCAGCTGTGGCGACAGCGGCCAGGCCGCCCGGCTCCCCGGCATTGCTGGCTCCGCCCGAGAGCTGCCCCACCGCCGAGCGTCCCTGCCAGCCCTGCCAAGCCCTCCGGCCTCGAACCTGGGTCTCCGCGGGCCCGCCCAGCTCGCCGATTGGCTAGGGTCCTCGACCAGGAACCAATCGCGAGCTCTGAGAAAGTTGCGCGGCGCCGCCCACCACATCTGGTTTTTATTAAGTTTCGTAAGGCAGCAGCCGAACTGTTCCCAGCGCTCTTCTTGAGCTTCCTGAGAGCTCCTGGGGTCCCCTGCTTGGGGTGCCCGCCGTCCCCGCCGCCGGGACCAAAGGGCCAGCGCGGACCCAGGGCACGATGTGCACACCAGACTGGAGAGCGCGAGTGGGTGCTGGGGTCCCCTGCGAGAGGTTTGCGTTCTTCCGGGCACCCCTTGCCCTTGAGGCCAGGCACTATAATGCACTGCCCCGACCTGAACCCTAACTCGATCCCCCTCCGCAGGGTTCACGCGGAGGACTCAGCCACTCTGAAAAGCAGTCTGGATCAGTGGAGGTCTCCCCACCTCCAGGGGCCGGGAGATTGCTGCTGGGAAGAACAAGAATCCTATGGGATGCAGTGTGCATGGTTTGGGGTGTGGGGTGAGGCACCCCGGGTGGCACCAGGCTATGCTGGAAGGGGATCTGCCCTTTTGCCCAGCGCCTGTGACCCTCAGAGCTGCCCTCCAAGGCGGCCGCCCAGCAGGTAACCAGAGCTGCCCAACAGGACTGGGACCTGGGCAACCTGGAAAGCAGCTGCGGGGTGTAGGGGACCTCATCAACCATAAACATCCCCTTTTTCGAAACCTCGAGAGCTGGAAGAGATTTTATTACCATTTTATTATCAAAGGTTTGAAATTTACCAGATAGTCTGTTTTCTCTCTCAGTACGTGCTACACACACACCTCCCAGGGGATCCCTGCAAGCAAAGGTATTTTGAAAGCAAAGCAAAAGGCAAACCCCGGGAAACTCCTGAAGGGACTCTGTCTAGAAAGACAAATGGCTCTTTGTAGGTGTTAATTCCAACTGTACACACCCTGGTGGACCCAGAAGGACAAAAACCGCTAAAACCTTGAAGACATCTTCAGACTCAGACTCAGAGTCAACACAAAATGGAAAATTGGTCAAGGCAGTTTGCTTTCTCAGACTATAGAGAGTTTGAATTTGCTTTTACAAAAATACATTTGTGCTTGCACATGTATTTTCCCCCCTCTGGTCAAGTATTTTCATTTTCCTGAAGAGGAAATGAAGGCTCAAAGACATGAGGCGATTTGACTTGCCCACAGTCACCTTGAATCACTCCAGCCTACAGATTCCTCCACTAGCACCTGAAGTGTTTCCAGAGCACTCGGTTCAGCACAGCAATAATGGGGAAGCTTGACTGAGGAGCTAGCTGTACATTAGGGGTGGGGTAGACTGCAAGATGGTCTCACCGGGGCTCATGGTGTCACTCCCTGTGCCTGCCTGGCCCTGGACATGTGTGGAACCTTGTGCTGTGCAACAGTAAGAGCGTGGCAGCAGCAATGAGCAGTCACTTCAAACGACCTGGCCACACAAGAATGCACTTTCTGTCTTGCCTGGCAAATGCTCGCTGGCTGACGAAGCTGGCTGTTCAGTTAGGAAGGCACACTGAACACAGAGTTGAGGGCACCTCTGGCCAACAGCCAGCAGGAACTGAACTCTGCCAACAACCTCCCAGCCAAGCTGAGAAGCAGGCCCCCCTCCATGAAGTCTTGACCTGGGCCCGGCCGGCCTGACTCTGACTGCAGCCTGGTGAGAGACACTGAAGGCGAAGATCCAGCTAACTGAGAATTAATAAATGTATGTTGTTTTAAGCCTCTATATCTAGGGATATTCAGTTATGCAGTAATAGGTAATCAAAACAGTTAAACACTGTTTAGGGGCACTAAGGCTTAGAGAGATTAAAAGTTATGTATTGTCACTTGCCTGGTAGGTACTAGAGCTGAGATTTGAACTCAGTTCAGTTGCATCTCTAAACCTCTACCCTGAGCCCCTAATTTATATTGCCCTAAGGCCCTCTGCAAGCTGGTACTGTCTACCTCTCTAACTTCATCTCCTGTCATAGCCACCCTTCAGCTGACACATTATGTACAGACCATTATGTACTAAACCTTTTACCTACACGGAGGTCACCAGTGAATCATGATCCAACATCCATTTATCCTGCAAGAAATGAATCAAACTTCCTCCTTCAGGAGGTTTTCCTGGAACGCACAGTGTGATGTAGAAGCCCCTTCCTGCTTCCCTGTGCTGGTGCTGGCCACGAGCTCCTATCTTCTATCATGCACATCTCCTGTAATCCTGGATCTCCACATATCTCCCTTAACTGCCACGGTGCCCCTAGAGGGCAGGGTGTTGTCAATTCAGAGCCTGCTGTAGCACTGTAGTGCCTGCTCAGCTTGGAGAGATTGAGAAACGTCTGTTGAGTAAAGTGAAGACTAGCAAGGCAACCCGGGACTAGGACCCACGTCTGCTGGCTCAACACCCAGCATTCTTTCCCTGCAACTCCACTCCTGCTAATCTGACCTGACTCTTGTAATCCTCTTTACCAGGCTGCCTAGCAACTCACCTACCCCTGCTCGCCAGTTTCCATCATTCTTTCTTTTATTCATCCGTTCAACAGCCATTTCCTGCAAACTGGCCACAACAAACCCAATTCTGCAAGAAGGAAAAAACAATGCAAGACCTGGCCCTTGACCTTGAGTAGCCTATGATCTGATTGGGGAAATAAAACATAAACATGGAGGCAAAAAATCAGTGAGTTTACAACGTAACATGTATTTAACAGTAGAAGAGGCAAAGGGGGATGTGACCAAAAGGATATCTCTACCTTTGAATCTGACATTGATGTACAAGAAGTAGAGCCAATAGAGAAGTTAACCCCAGCAGTCCAGCACCCCTCCCTGCTCAGAGTGGCTGAATTTGCCTTGAAATATGAGGCTTTAGACAGCTGTGCGTCAGCAGACATTCCTTGGTGGTTTTATTCTAATATTATTTTAAAATAACTCTGTGGCACCCAAAGAGTGGTTTCTCCTTTAAAATGTTACTTTGTGTCTTAAGGAAAAGAAAATAAAAATCTGTCCTAGCTACTTTCCTGATCAGAGTAAATCCTGAAGAAATACTCTTATATCCAGAGCTCCCTTTGCAAGAGTAGAATTTCCATGACCTCCCAGTCTGGCTGAAGAGGCAGAGGCCCCTTTGAGGTGATGTTAAAGAGGACTCCTGTTAGGCTGAGAATTGCTTCAGACACAAGATCATTTCAATGCAGACTCTGCATTCCAAGCCAGGGGTGGTACCACATGTCTTGCCAATAGACTGCAGAAGAATCTCCCTAGTTATATTTTTGTGGTTATATTTCTGTTGTAAATACCAAGACTTCAAGAATGATGACACTTCCTGTTATTTTAATCATGAGAATGAAAGCCTATTTACTCCACAGTGTAACAAAAGATGTACATATTCAGGAGCAAATCCCATGCTTCACATTGATGAATGTGTGTACATGTTTGTTTTAGAAGTAGGCTTAGCCATGTCCCTGATCTTGTTGCATGCAGGGATTCTTTGCATAACTTTACTATCCATTAAATTCCAGGGTGGGTTTGCTAGCATGTGGAAAACACAGAGTTGAGCAAAATAGCCTGTCTTTGCAGATTCAAGCTTAATTGAAAGTACATCTGGCCTAAGAAAAACCATTCAGTGAGAAAGTATTTGAACTAAAATATGCAATAAAAAAAGACTGAACCTTCCAACCATTTGATAGAAATCACTGAAGAGGCAATTTTGCCAGGATGTTTTTAAACATAGAGAGAGTTGGTAGGGCAGATACTATTGAATGCTTTCCTGACAGTTGCCCCTTTTTATTACTTGATTTTAAAAACCCTATGTTGTTCAGGTCAAGGGTGCAATAAAGCCTGGAATGGTGGATTCTTCCCTCTGTCCTGGAAGAAAAATTGAGATTCGTCAAAGATAGTCATGGTCACAGCACCCCCACATCTTCAGGGTACATTCTTCGCTGTCTCAAATGCAGGTAGTGTGGAAACCTCGATATGCTATGATTTTTCCTATGTGTACAAGGCGTGATCAAAATATAGAGTATATGTGTAAATTTTTTAAATGTCCTACAGTAAAAGACACGCCAAAACTAAACTCTCTCAGAATACCCCCACACTTCAAGCAGACTGATGCTACTGCTCTTGCCACTTTCTGAGTGTCTGATTGTCTTTATTGTTCTCGCTATTTTCTGAGTGCATAATCAAAAATGCAGCGAATGCTGCTTCCAAGTGCCATCCAACAGAAAGATAGTCTCATGAAACATTAGTGTGCCTTCTTCTACCTTGTTCACCAAACCTAGCACGGCATAAATTCTGGCTCTTTAAAGTCAAAATGATCATTAAAAGTAAGCATTGAGGCATCCATGATAGTGCAAATAGAGACACAGTTCTGTCACATATGTGTTATGCTCTGACAAAAACATATCCTGAGACCCTTCTGGGAGACTGAGATTAACAGTGGTAGACTAATTAATCTGGCAGAGGAAATTTAAAGGCATCCTAATGTTCAGGCTGTAGGATGTTTACTGGTTGGTACTTTAAGCTACACTTACTGTGAGAAACAGGAGTAAAAAGGCCATTTTAAAAGTTTTCAGTTGTGCTAGAAAGGATTTTCACACGGTAGCTTAGTAAAGGAGCTTGGTTGCCAAAATGATTAGCATTAAAAGGAAGCCAAACAGTTTTTTGAATCTGGACAGTGGGGAAAAAAATGCCTTGAGGGCATATGAGGAACTAGCAAGGCCCTACCTTTCACAAACTCAAAATTACAAAACTGAAAGACTTTGCTTTGAAAGTCATTGAGTACCATGCTTTAGAATGGCTCACCCAGGAAATTTGTTCCCCAGTATTCAGTTCATGGTACTCAGTCATATAGGCACTTGGTGACCTCTGTAGCCATGATATGAGGGAGCCTGGCTACTGCTTAAGGTGGTGGAAAACCTGGACATCATCCACATGGAGCTGGTTTTACAGGCATGCAAGATGCAAGAGTTGTAGGT